ATAAGGCTATTATAAACGCTATAATTTTAAAAGTATTAAGGGCTAGTATATACTTAGTATAGGAGTATAAGGCCGAATAATTATTTATTTAAAGCTAAGGAGAAAGGAGGAAAACTCTATCTTAGTCGCGCTAGTTATCTATCTTTCTTAGTCCTTAGCTTAACCTATATTTAAGTACTATTTAGCCTAAGTTTAAGTTAAGCTTTACTTATATATAGGTTTACTTTAGCTTAACTTTAGTATAGTCGCTATAATATAACCTTAGCTCTTTATAAGTATAGCTTATAATACTACCTTTATATTCCCCTTTTTATTAGTAGTACTTTCTTTTTTTTCTTATTACTTTTCTACTATTACCTTTCTTTATTTCTTAAGTATATATAGTAGTTCCTTTTACCTTACGCTTACCTTATCTTTTTATATACCGCCCTTTTATATACCCGTTCCGCCTTATTCTACTCTCTTTTATATATATACCCTACTATATATAAACACCCCTTTTTCTCCCTCTCTTTTTTTTTCTTTTTCCTCTTTTAAGCTTTACTTTTTTTACGCGCGTGCTCTTACTTTATTTATTTTTTATCTCCGCGCCGCGCTATATTATAACTACTATAGGCCCTTATATACCTACTAGCCTCTTTACTCTATATAGCGGTAGCCCGCCTCTAAGTATACTAAGCGATTATACCTTACTACCCTTATACTAGTTAACGCGTTTACTTATATCTCTTAGTAAGTATAGCGCGACTTATAGTATTATAATATAGTAGCTACCTTATCTTACTTATATAAGCTAAATAATATCGCTAAATATTAAGATATAGTATAGTACTTATTAAAACTAAGTATTACTATATACCTATAACTAACGTTAGCTACCTAGCTTATAGTATACCCCCCTTTTAGTACCCTTTCTTACTAAAACGTAAGATTTAAAAAACTAAATAATAAATATAAGAAAAATAGTTATACTTAGTAGCTCCTAGAATACTATTAGTAAAATAGCTTAAGTTAGTATTAAAATTTACTTTTTATATATATTATATCTAATTATACTTATATAAAAGCTTAAAGCTAACTTAAGTATTTTATTAGTACTTTATACTACTTTACCTAGTAAGCCTTAATACTTTAAAAAGTATTAAATTAATATTAAAAACAATTCTAATAAAGTAGGCTAAGTAGTAAATAAGCTTTTTTATAGGATATACTACCAATAAAGTAGTTAAAGACTTATAACTAGCTTTTTCTTTTAAGTTATTAAGTAATAAACTTTTCTCCTTATTAAAAAAAGAGGTATTTTAAGAATATCCTATTATCTTTTTTTTAATAGATAAAATAGTAAATAGAAAGTACTTTTATATCGGTAGGATCTCTACTTAAGTCGATATATTTAGTAAGAGTAGCGCGCTTAAAGGCTTTTCGGGAACGATTTTTTAGTATATAACTAGATATACTATTAGTAGTATATCCCGAAAAGATAAAGAAATAAGGAAACGATATACTTACGTATAACGCGATAAGGGTATATTTATATACGGCGGCTAAGGTAGCTATAGTAGGTCTTACGGATAAGACTAAAAGGAGGGGAGATATCGTATTACGACTACGGCTACTAGGCCGCTAACGGTTAACTACGTTAAGCACGTAATACGGTCTAACGGATAAATAGTCGGCATAACTATCTAATAGATATAGGATTAAGGGGATCGTAGAGATCTAAGTAATCTAGGATTAACGAGATTACTACGCTTTATACGATCTAATATTAGGGATTATAGCTAGGCCTATAATCTAAGGATAGTCTCTATAGGTATATATAGCTACCTACTTTTACTCCTTTAAATAGATAGCTCTCTAGCTTTTAATATAATTATTACGATCTCTATTACGATCTTATCTCTAATTCCGATTACTTAATTACCTAGTTATAGTCTATAGTCTACGACCTCTAACTTATTACTAACGTAATATACTTATTATTACTTAGACTACGCCCTATTATATCTACTAATATAAACCCCTCGATAGGTTTATCCCTTAGGAATAATACCGGTCGTTATACTATAGCCTTTAAAGGGACTATAAAGACGACTAATCCTACCTTCTACGTCGGGCCTAGGGTGCCTAGCTACCTAGGCTGTCCTAGGATATCGATCCTACTAAAGGTTTTAGCTTCTACGGCGAAGATATTAAGGATAGGGGTCTCTAGGAGGTTAGGGACGCTCTAGGCTACTAGCTTAGTCTAGCTAGTAAGAAGGTCGGCCGATTTAATAGGTAGCCCTTTAAGGTATATAGACTACTTCTCCCGCTACTTTAAAAGCTTCTTTACTATATAAGGGGCCTTTATCGTTATAACTATATTACCTTTATTTAAAGTTAATAAAGCTAATATAGCTAGTTCCCCTATAGCCTTATTAAGCTCGTTATAAAGAGTAATAGGGCTAATAGTTAGCGTTAGCGATCCCTTCTTTAGCTTTAAGATAAGTTAGAAGTCCTCTTTTACGTTCCTCTTAGCTAGGGCCTTAGTTAGGGCCTTAGCCGGGGCCTTAGCTAGAGCCTTAGCCGGGGCCTTAGCCGGGGCCTTAGGCGCCTTCTTTATAGTAACCTTAGCCTATAAGCTTACTTCGAGGTTTCCTTAGGTAGCCTTAAGCTACTAAGCGGCCTTAGGCTAGTATAGGGGCTATTATAGGGGCTGTTAGCGGTCTAGGGTCCTTATAGCTGCCTTCTCGAGCCCTTTTATAAGGGTCTTATAGAAGGGTTCGATTTTTTAGGCTTCCTTAAGGGCCTAGAGGGCCTGCTAAAGGAAGCCCTAGGCCCGGTCCCTAGGGAAGGGGTGCTAGGGCCAGGGCTAGGTTTACTATAAGTTTTAAAACGTAGGTCGGATAGGCGTAGGGCTAATAGGGCTACTAAGGGCAGCTCTTTCTCGCCCCTTTACTTACTTTAGGGGCTAGTTAGGCTAGAAGTAGCTAGCCTAAGGTAGGGCTAGGCTAGGCCTAAAGAGGCTAGTCTTTAATATAGGCTAGGTATTATCTTCTATCTTAATATCCTTTAGGTCTTAGTCTTAGGTCCTAGGCCTTTCTTCTAGGGTCTTTAAAAGGCGTTAGCCTTCTAGAGCTTCTTCTAAGTAGGCCCTAGCCTCTAAGGTGCTTATTTCGGCCCTTAGGTTAAGGGGAGGGGGGGTTAAAGTTAAAGGGGCCCTCCTTAGGTCTAGGCCGGGGTCCTAGGTCGGGTCCGGGCTAGGTCCCGTTAGCGGGGGGCATAATTATACCCTTTAGTTAGCGAGGGCGGGGAAGAGTTCTCCACCCGTATAGGGGAGAACCTCGCCTAATTCGCAATCTTCGGCAGCATATTGCGCACTCGCTAGTAGCTGCACGAGGCTGCACTTAGGGGGGCGTAATACGCTATTCGCGACGGTTCTAGGCGTATGCCTTTTTCGTGTTTTAGGCTTGGTTTCGAAAAGTTAGCCGAGAAGACGTGATTAATGCTTAGTTTCCTTGTTAAAGGCATTTAAAGCGCTCGAGAAACCGGGAAACTGAAATGGCTTCTAAGTGGCAATTAAGGCTTCAATCTGGAAGACTCATCGACATAATCTCAAAGTCCTACCCGTTCCGTTTATAGCAGCTTTCTTGAGCATGAAGACCCCGATTGCCGTCATGGTAGCCCTCGCCGGAGTGGTCTTGGCGGCGGACCCCTTTGCATGTATATGCCAGATTGGGGGTCTCCCAAGAGTAGCCCACTGCGGCCAATGCACGTCAGCGGATATAGCCACTGTGAGTAGCCATCTGCAAGCGACGGCGAGCTTGGTTCTAACGAGTGTGACAATCTAGGGTTCGTGCGTAAGTGTTCCCAACTGAGAAACGAGAACCCCGGACTGCCAGCAGCAAGTTGACAGCAATGACAGTGGACGTCGGGATCACGAGGCACCATTGTAAGTCTCTTCCCACGCAATGGTATCAGAAGACGCGTGCTGATAGAGTGCGGAATGTAGTGCCACTAGCACGGCGCTATAGAGGCTGTCGAGTGATATTCCGCCCAGCCGAGGAAGCACCCTAACCCAGAACGGCTGTGTTTGCTTGGCTTACTGCGGCTATATGCGTGGCGAGCCGTTCGCTTGGAAAAGTGGTTGTTCTCCGCAGATCTTCTACGCTGAAGCTTAAAGTGTTAACAATGTTTCTTGAACGTATATGTGTTTCTGGTCGTACCGCCCCAAAGCTTATCTTGATGAAAGTTTCCATGAGCTGGGCCGATATAGGCCACTCCTCGCCCAAGGTGTGGAATGGCTCACCGGAATTAATAGGTAGAAGCCCAACAGATCCGTGTTTTTGCTTAGAATACCGACTGAAGCTTTCAAGTTCGAGCGACGGAGACCTACGGCTTCGAGCTGCTCGAGACGAGCAAGTTCATTCTTTTCGTAGTCCGGCAATGGCGCCGTAGCTCCCCCAACACACATTGTATGCTTCCGAGTGCTTCCCAGGCTGCCTCGCAAATGCTCTCCATCAACTAGCGGTCCATGCTCTCAAAAGCCAATCCTCAAATAGTCAGCTGCTGTTTCACGAGTCGGCTGGTTTCCAACTATTTCTTGCCTTTGATCTCAGGATAAATAGGCGCGCCCAAAAGCCCGTAGAAGCATTAACGCACCCCCGAAGAAATTGCATGTGCCTGTAGGAACGAAGAGACGAAAGGACTGGTCGTCCTCACTTACCTGTGTATATAATCCGGGGCCAGGCGGCTACCCGCCCGACCAATTCAAGACCCACGAGTTGGCTTTCCTTGTGCCTTACGCCCGGCATAAAAACATTTTACTGTTCGTCACATTTCCATGTAATCGTCCAGCTCGGGAGCATGTCGTCTACTTTGGCGATTGTGTACGAAAATCGTGCCTGCGACGGGATGTGCTCACGAGTAATGGTTTTCTTACGAAGGGCACGTTTCCTATGCTCTCAAGACGGTACAGGATGTGATGATATCAAAACTTCATGATAAGGGACAAAGCAGCACTACTCTCCAACCACCGCAGCACCAATGGGAAGGCTGACAACCTGCTCATTCAGCTCATAACCACACTTGGCAGCAACGGCGGCCCCGTCTGTCCTCTCCGTCAAGCAGAGCCTCGTCCTCGCGTTGACCAAGTTCCCGGTAATCTGGTAAAACCAAGCTTCAGACTGACAGCCTGAGCGGCTGGAGAATATTCTGCCCTGTGCGTCGGCGATGCACTCGTTGGGGCGGAGCAGACTGTTGATGTGCCAGTCGGGGCGAACCTTCCAGGTCTGGGCGTCGGAGCCGTTGCACTTGGCCCATGACACCTTACCTGACTTGTCGTCTGTGAGGCACTTGAGGCTGTTCGTGTTGAAGATGAGGCCGGTGGGCGTGATGGGACTGGCGGGCCTGGCGATGCGAAAGACGGCGGTGCCATGCGAGGGAACGCCCTTGGCGGTGATGCCGCTCTCCTGGGCAGAAATCTTTGATCGTTTCCCGGTCCAAAGATTCTTGGCGGAGACGTCCCCTGCGCGCCGCAGAGCTGATGGCGAGAAGCCGAGTCTTTCCCAAGACACGGTCAAGTCGGCCGTTGAGCCCCTCTTGTTCAGGGTTACGACGAGTCGATCGCCATTCTCCAGGCTCTTGGTGAGAACATCCCAGTTTGCGTCGCTACTTACCAAAGTTGCTTGCTGGACAAGCCTGTCCTGGTTAATGGCGATGAGGTCACGGTTGGTCAAATACTCAACCTCCTCGTCACGAATCGAGGCCAAGTCGGCACTGAGGATGAGCGGCGCCGAAAAGGCGCACCAGAGCGCAAAGTGGCTCTTCTTCTCGTCCAAGGTAAAGGAAGGATGGTCGACGATGAGGAAATCCGGGTCGTTGAAGAAGCCTGGCTTCTGGAAACGGGCCAGGCGAAGGTGTTGCCCGTAGTTGAACAGGACGCTGTTCCAGGCATTGCCGTCGGGGTAGTTGACAATATCGGCCGAGTGCCTTGCCAAGTGTCCGATTTTTCTGGCCCAGCGCATGACGGTATACCAGTCAGTCAAGTTCTCTCTTCCGGAGAAGTAGGCCGGGGCCGAGTCGGAGAAGACCATGCGGCTCTCCGACTGTAAGAGGAGCTGGTGCCACCGGCCATAGACTTGGCGATACGTCGCCTCACTGCCGTCGGGGAGGTTACAGCCGTCCATTTTGAGATATTCAAACCCCCACGCAACAAAGTCGTTGAAGTCAATCTCCTCGAAGCCCAGGGCAGCGGGGTAGCCGCCGCACGACAGGGTGCCGGCATCGGAGTAGATGCCCGGGATGAAGCCTCGCGACTTGAGGTGCGACGCGAGCCAGGGGAGGCCCCTTGGGAACTTTGCACTGTCCCAGACCATGGACCCGTCGGCGGCCCGGCTCTTTGTGGACCACGCGTCGTCGAGATTGACGTGGTTGTAGCCCGCAGCCAGCAAGCCCCTGCTTGCCATGGCCTCGGCGGCATCAACGAAGATGGCCTCATTGATGTTGGTCGTGAAGCGGGCCCAGTTGTTGAAGCCCATGGGCGGCAGGGGAAGAACAGTCTCCGGGGCCAAGGCGGCCGTGCCGACGAGCCCGGCCGCGGCGGCCAGGAGCATCTGGGACATCATGGCGACTCAAGGGATGTCAAAGACACTTGGGGAAGGCAAGGAATGAGGATTTGTGAGTGCGGGGATGGCAGGACATGGAGCCGCGGGTCATTATATCAATGAACGGGCTGTGGCAGCTTGCCGGCCGCTTCCATGTAGGAATGATACGATGAGTTATCCGAGGTCCGTAGCGGGTTAATTATTATTGAGGTGCGTTTCTCACATCATGTGTATTTAGCCATGCAGCCCATGCGCGTAGATACCTGGTCGACACGTACGCCGCCCGTGTTCATGTTGACGAGCATTGCACAACACGTGGGCAACTCATGTACAAAGGCAGGTTGGACAAATCATTAGACTACGGGTTTGAACTCCCGATAAAGAAGCTCCTATTTATTTCTTCTACTAATGTAAAGCATCCACCTCCTGGTTTTACGACCTGAGCCGCTTTCTCGGATGCACGTGTGGTTCGTGAACTGCCCACAAGTGTACGGGACAATTCTCTCTGTGCCTTCAAGCTAGCTCAGCCGGCGAATGCAGACTCTGAAGAGAGCCCTCCGCCGTACAAGCTTTGTGAGAGCGGAGAGTCGGGGCCTGGACCGGCTCCTCCAAGCATGTACGGTTAGACTGGGCGAATGCGTATCTGTGCCGGCCAGGGGAGATGTGCGTCTCGCATGGCCTTGTTGCTTGCACATCATTCCTCGATCCAATAAGGAACCGTGCAACGTTGCACAGACCTTCCACGTTGCAGGATAACATGCAGCCAAGGGCGGCAGGTCCAAGAAGCGTTGGCTATTAGTCTGCCCCAGCGTCATCGTCAGGCAGGCATCCAAGGTTGAGCCATCAATATCTCGACGCGATCCATATTCATACATACATACGCTTATGCATGGTAGATGCCCGGCAGATGCTACGGTTGCCGACGACAGCTGCTCCATGGGACACAGAGATGAACACAGTAGACATAAGCACCAGATGATATATCCACAAACTCGGGTCCATCGAGGATACCATATTCTCCGGATCCCGTCTCGAAGCTCGCCCGGGCATGACTTTGGCAAGACGCTGGTTGCTTGTGCCCACCCAGAGCTCTATATATACACCAAACTCGAGCATCGCATCCCGAGTGCAGGCTGCTCTCCGCACTTCCCCGCTTCGCCCATTGCGGGGGAATCCCCACCGGCTCCACCCTCTTCCCGTTGTTGTCCGGAGTCCAGCTCATTCCGTCTGCTAGTCAATCGCCGCCCTGCACTGCACGCAGTTACATGGCCGGCCAAGGTCATAGGCACTGCTCGTACTCGTATAAGAGCTCGCGTAACAGCCAGGCTAGTGAGCACTCGACTCGGGAAAAGTCTCTCGTCTGCCTTGGTGAGGAGACGAGATGCATGTTTGGCGTGGCCCGCTGATCAACCGTGATGCAATTGCAAGAGTAGAAATCTATATTCGACTATACTAAGGGTACCCGTAAGTTCCCAAGAAAAATATGTTCAAGAACAGAAATCGTGACACAGCTGAACTATTGTGTCCACTTATAACAGGTACCTAAATCCCTTCCTCATTCGCAAAGCCTCGTCGGGGCTCGCCGTGAACTCGTGCTCTCCGGGCTGCTGAGCACTGTCCCGGCCTTCGCTGTCCTCGAGCTCCTTGTTCAGCCCGGCCAACGTCATTCTGAAAACCCAGCAGCCGGCGATGGCGACGCAAAACATGGACAGCACGATGCCGTAGCTTTTTCGGTAGCCGTTGTCTTTCAGATCCCAGACGTAGGACCCGGCTACATTGCCAAGCTGGCTGAAGCCGTTGATCATGGCGATGGCAACCGCTCGTTTGGCCGGGGGTCGGGGGAAGGAAGAGCTGATCCACGAGTAAAATACAATGTATCCCGCGTACGAGGACGCTTGGAGGAAGAGGGCCACGTAGCGGGCTGCCACGTTGAGCGTCGCCATACTGATGGCAAATCCCACGATGCCGAGGAGCAGAGGTGCGGCAATGTGCCAGAACTTTGAAGCAGTTGTCAGCCATTTGAATTGTGTCGGTTGCAAAGAGCCAAGTCCAGGGGGGAGCTGGAGGAGCATAGATTGAAAGGGGGGGAGGGAAAGATGGAGTCAGACTGACCTTCTCTTGGGTCCGGTCAGAGTGCCAGGACACGGCAATGGAAACGATACAGGCAAATACCCAAGGGGGAGAGCTCATCAACAGAGTCGGAACGTAGTCGAAGCCCAGAGTGCCGGTGAGGGTGGGCTGGGCGCAGGTTAGCTGATCTGTGGAGCCGAGGCAATGCAAAAAGTGACACATGGCTTACAAAAAAGGCGTTAAAGGACAGGCCAACGACATAGGCGGTGAAGGTGAGCATCATGATGTAGATCTTGGCGTCTCTCAGGGCCATGAAGAGGCCGTCAAAGGCACCCTGGTCAGCCGAGTCGGTATCTGCCTCGCCCACGTCTTCGGTCATGCGCAGCTGGGCGACGAGCTTCTCCTCGTCGGTGAAGCCGCGGGTGTTGTGCGGCAGGTCGGGCAGGATGAGGGCGGCGGCGACGGCAACGGCCATTGTGGCGGCTCCCTCGATGAAGAAAAGCCAGCGCCAAGCAGCGTGGCCGAGGATGCCCTGCATGTTGGAGAGGACGCCGGCACCGACGAGGGCGGAGAAGGCGTTTGAGATGAGATTGCCGCAGAAGAGAATGGCGTTTCGAGTCGTCAGCTCACGACGGGTATACCACTTGGACAGCAGAAGCAGGGCACCCGGGAGAAAGGCCGCCTCGACGAAGCCGAGGAAGAAGCGGGTGGCGACCATTCCGGCAAAGTTGTGCGCGACGCCACTGAGGGTGGAGATGACGCCCCAGAGCAGCATTGCGCCGGCAATGTAGAGCGAGGGGCGCTGGATGCGGTTGATGAACATGTTGGAGGGCACCTGCATGAGGATGTAGCCGACGTAGAGGATGCTGAGGCATGTGGCGTACTGGGTGTTGTCGAGGCCGAGGTCGTCCTGCAGGCCCTTGAGGCGGGCGGCGGCGATGTTGTTGCGGTCGAGGTAGTTGAGGACGTAGATGAGGACAAAGAGGGCGCAGCGGGCGTCGAGCTTGCGCCTCATGCGCTTCTCGACGACGGCTCGGCGCGCCGGGTCCATGTGGGAGGAGGCATCGAGGCGAGGCGAGGCCGGCTGCTCGAGGCTCTCGATGCTGGGCTTCTGCGAGTCGCCGGCGTCATGGGCGTGCGCCCGGACAATGTCGTCGTCGCCTGTCATGAGCGGCGGCGGGGGATGGGGAAGACGACGCGTTGGAGTCCAGATTTGGCGATGTTGGCTGGTGTTGAGATGGTGCTGCTTGAGCGGTGAGCGGTACCTTGCGTGGTGGTGTTGGTGGGAGGCACGTGACGCTGCGATGGACGTCAAAGAACGTCGTCTCTGACTCTCTGTTCGGACCAGAGTCCCTCCCTCCATCTTTCGTCCTCGACAAGACCGTCTTTCCGGCTGAAGTACAAACAACGGCAAGGATATCCGAAATGGGCAACGCCGAGGCATGGCGGGGATCCCACAGCGGCATCCCGCCTCCGCAACGACCCCTGCCAGATCCCCATACCTACCCCAGCTTGGCCTCTACGACCAGCTGCTGATGATGTACTGCAGATTCGCTGACCGATGAGCCGGTGCAGCCGCGGCGGGCCAGTCCAACGACAGCGCCAATCTTCAACGTCGACACACCCGAGCAAGCGGCCCTTTCTCGTCTGCAACGGATGCAGCACCGAGATGGTCTTCATTCTTCCCCCAGCTTCTCGCCTCATGGCCGAAATACACCCCGAGATGAGCTGTGTTCCACCTGGGCCCGAGAGAGCGGCACCATGTACGTAATAGCCGCCGCTGCAATCAGGCGTTTCCAGGGCCTATTATCACGCGAATTGGTCATTATGGGTACAGAAACCACCACCGTCGCACAGACCCAGACGTTTTCCCCTTCTTGTCTCCTTTTTTCTTCTTCCTCCTTTCCCCACCAAGGGGAGCAAGACACATACGAAGCAATTAGCTTGTCCGTTGGCGTCTGCTGTGCCAAGTTTACGTGGGGGTCATGCTCATCGTTTTGGATGTTTCAACAGCCAATAGAATCATGAGTCTCCTTTGCCGTCGGCCAACGCTGTGCAACAACTCCACGTCTCACCACCCACGTCTCATCATGCTCGAGTCATTCGATAGATTCACGGAAGCGAGAGTCTTCGTCTGTGGGGTCGCGGTCCGTCCGTACCCCAGACCGTACGAGAAAAATCGTTGGGCACAAAGAGCAAGCCACGAATACCCTCATGGCAACTGTCCACGGCTATGAGCATTAGCTTGGCCCTCTAAGGCAACCCCGCCGATGGTCCAGCCAGCTTGTGATAAGACCGCCCGCTCGGTCGCGACCCCTCCTATTCGAGGGCGTAGTTGCGTCGGACTCGTACGCGTTCTTGCGCTTCGTGGGAGTCTTAGTCGGGGAAATCAACGTGCAGTAATAGGGGCAAAGGGCAAGGTGTCATTGTTATCAGAGCTACAGGGGCCATCGGGCCCATTTCAAAAGCCAAACCCACTCTCCACAATTAGAGAGAACCCCCCGATTCTCTGACAGTTTGAGGCCCTCAGGGCCAGCGGGAAAAACAACAAGCAAAGAAAGGCAGGGAGGGTCCCCCAATGCTCCATTTAGCGGCCACGTTAGCCAGCGGGTATAAAACACAGCAAGCGGAAAGAAAGAAGGAAAGTTATAGAGGGAAGATTCCCCAATAGTCCAAGTCAGAGGCCATCAAGGCCAGCGGGTATATCATGCTGCGCAACAGGTGCACTGACGAAACTTACAGAAAGGACCAACCCAGCAAGCAATGAAAATGAGTTGCGCGCACCCAATGCCACCGCTTGCCACCGTCAGGAATCCTCACAGCAGAGCAGCTGGGTGGGCCATCAGGGTGGACATGCGCTGGAGGAGCTCACGCTGATAGGTGACGGCAATGCTGGACGTGGTGATGACTTCCTCTCCAAAAACGATGGATTCTCTTCCGGTCTTGATAGTCTCCAACATTGCCTGTCGGACGTTTTGCAGATGGCCTACTAGCTTGTTTAGTCGGAGTCATTATTTTGTCTATACTAAAGCGTATTACCACATGCCAAGGCGTTACAGCCGTTCAGAGCGCACCAGGCGCGAGCGAGCCCCAACGACCAGTGCCACCATAATGGCAACTGGCACATCCATCGGACATGCGCGTAAGGATGACACGCAACCCAAGACGTGTCTCGCACATGCCAGTCCACCTGGCTATATGCCTCGCCCAGATGGTCCGCAATTTGCCGAGGAGATCTGAGAGCAGCCTCGAGTTTCATCTTTTTTGCGCATCTCACGGGCCACCCCCTTCGCAGTCTTCGGTCTTTCCAGGGCGATGAGCCGTCTGACTCAATCATCCCAAGCCTTGCGAGGGACCTCTCCAATGAGGTTCCTTCGAGCGGCTTCACGCTGGACTCTGAACTCTTCTCCAGAGTGGTGGCGCTCCTGGGTGGCACCGACGTGAAGATGGTCAAGCACCCACCCTTTGCCGTCTTTGTCGAGTCTGTCTCCGGCAGATATGAGGGGAGCTATGTCGTTCAATACAGGAGGAAGTTAGCTAATGCAAAAAGCTGGAGACAAGGCCAGCCACTGACCCATGGCAATCTTGAGAGGGGCAAGGGGGCCAGGAGTGTGGTGGGCCTTGTTTTCATATTGCAGAGTATTCAGAATGCACCATAGCAAACCCTCTCTGAGGGAAACACTGGCGACATGAAAGCCGTCGGAACAGGGTTCAAGTGCGACTGGTTGTATGGACTTCCAAGGACGCGCCCAAATGGCCAGCAACATGGCCGGACTGCTGGACAGACAAGTTAAGCGGACCATCGGGAAAACTGTGACCATACAAGCGCTCCTAGCAGTCGGATTGACGGAATGCCACAGGGTGTACTTGGCGGTCGAACCGACGTCGAGTGTTGCGGCAACGAATGGGAAGCTGATCTTTGCAGGAGCGGAGAGAAAGATGAAGTCATGGATTGAGGAAGGTTCGATTAATAGAGAAAAGGGTGATCGGAAACAGGGCGAGACAAAGAGAACTTTTGCTGTGAGATGGGGGTTGAAAATGATCAAGGGAGGAGGCGGGGAGTTGAAGTTATAACGAGGGGTTTTGAGGGTACCTGGCCCTGCCTGATCTTGGCTGCTAACTAAATAGCCGTCAACACTACTTGGCCGGGTTTGTGCCAATGGGTCGAGCATAATAACCTCGGACTGGGCATCTTTAGAGATGAGGTAGCCAGCCTGAGCTCGGACATGAACTCAGGATACAAGGCCCTTCAGATGGGCGTCATCAGTCCATCAACCCGTTTCATGAGCCGATGTCCTTTGTCGTGTTTGATTTAATCCTATTAGTTTCATGTATATGAGCAGATTAATACATGATTTCCATACCATTTAGGCACTGAGCCCAATGGCCCGGCGCGACAATATTTTGGAAAGGGACGAATCGATTGATACGCGTCAACCACACTCGACATCGTGCGTTTGCCCACATGGTCACGGGCAAGGCCAACGGCAAAATTTGCGCGTCAATGGGCAGAGTCATGCGTGCAGGGCAAGATAAAGCATAGTCAAGCGCCGAGTCGTATATGTCTTTGCCCAAGTTCCTAGGTCTCCACGTACGCCATTCTTTCAAACTTAGGTGGAGAGCACGAGAAAGGTGAAAACGATGACTGAGAGTGGTGATTCCAGTAAATACAACGATAATGTCCAAGGTGGACCAAGTTGCACCAGCTGGCTTCGGGCTCCCCATGACAGCCGCCGTCGTCACCGAGGGCTACGTGAAGCACTTCGTACTTTGCTGCATGTGATGATAAGGAGGGAAGAGAGTTTTCCCCAGACCTGGGCCTGTGTGCAAACGACATTCGTAGGGGAGGCAACGGGTCCTGCATGACCAAGTGCCCAACGCCAGTCAGGACGCTCAGGTGCGTTGCTGCAAACGCGGCGATGTCCTCGCTGATGGGCTGCTATGACGGTTCGCTCGTTTGACAAATCTCAGACCCCCAATATGCAGGCAATAACATAGGTTCCCGTTTGCCAGTACAAGTACACACCAACCTACAGTCTCCAGCTTGAATTCCCAACTTGTCCTCCCACCATCCTCGTCCCACAGCCACGACTCTCCTCACCTGGCATCGTTGCCTGACAATCTCTTTCCTCGCCGCAATGCCCGTCCCAAGCCAGCCTTCTCTCGGAGTCAGCCCACCTTGTTCCATGCAACACCGCCCAGCGAGTTGAGCAAAGACGACGAACCCGACGGCAACCGTCTCACCGAGCTTCTCGTCACGATTCTTCACCTTGTTAACAGTATCGAGCAGGACTTGTCCGAGCTTCATCGGTCCAGGTGTTAGACGTACTTGACTCGATCTAAATAGCTGGTAAGTCATTAGCCTTGGCTCTGGCCCTTTCCGCATCCTGACTTGCTTCAATAGAAAGGGACATAAACAGCCAGGACTTGTGCGAACATAAGATGTGTGACAAGCCAAAGGGTCAGCAGAAGCAGACCCGGCAAGCAAGGATGACCATCTTCACGCCGGCGCCTCCCAGGGCCGCCGTGACTGGTCGCGAATGACGACCAAACGGAAGGCGGCTCGCAGCGACCTCGTGAGGAATTCGGCCGTCGAGGGCCGGGGAAAATTGGGGCTGCATCCGAGGCCAAGTCCATTCGGGTCTGGGGGACGTGGAGATGGGCGAGGGAGTGGGTGAATGTCTGTTGTCTGTCGAGTACGTCTGGTGTCGCGGTACCACTTGGAACAAGTGTGAGAATCACGGCATCCTACCTGATTTGATGGAACTGGCTTAGACGCCGAAGGGGAAGCCACGTCTTGTATTTGCCCAACAGTACGCGGCACGACTCGGCGCAACTTTTACTGCCAGTAAATACATTATGACAACTACGAGCAAGTGTTGCCCGCCTACCTATCTGCCTGCCTGCTTGCCTGCTCGATGGTCTGCTCGCCCGCCTAACGCACCAATCTGCTCGATGAGCCTCTTAGCCGGCTGGCTGGCTGTTCGAGCGGCTCCCCCATCAGCCGATCGCCCGGCTGCTTGCCTCCACCGACACCGTATTCCTCGTCTCATAGGCTTCAGGGCATTTCAAAGGCGAGAAAGACGGGTGCCCCAGGAACAAGACGTGTTTTTGACTGAACAGAGATATCGTGGTGCTACCGGGTATTCCACCAACGTCAAAGACTCGATTGCGTTGCTCGTCGATGTCCCCTGGATGAGCAGAGGGCGACCAAGCAGACATAGTTACAATACTGCAAGTCCAACTATCAATAAGTAATGCTCGATACCGTCTTTGATCTCATCGGTGACTCTCGACAAAAGCTCGTGTATAATCCCAGCCTCAATGCGCGTTTGCTACAGCTCCAGTGCAGCGTGTTACATCATTGTCGAAACGTCGAGGTTGCTCTCCCACAATGTTCCCCCTCGTTGCAGCAGTCATTCTCATCTAACCGTGATGAACATCTTTTAGCTGTCTTTCATGAAACTCGGCACAGGTCCACCTCACATGCGGCGACTCAGCTTTGCAGTCACCCAGTGAATAACCGACCATGAAACACCCATCTGTCAGTCCAGCACACGGCAGTTGCATAGCCAGTCGAATTCATCATTCCGCTCTCCCCTAACAATGGCGCAACGAGACCGTCTCAAAGTGGGATGGAAGGTGCAAGTGAAGTTGGCTCATGAACATCCCTGGGTAAATTTGCTACCGGCGCAGTGGATTTGCGAAATCGTACAAAGCTTTGACTCGATATCTCTCGAGATCGTCTGCGCCTTCACCCGCTGCAGTCTCCTGCAACTCCTACTCCCCAAGACCAAATATGAGTATACAGGTAACCGTGTGACGCGCTGCGCTCCCGTCCAAGACTCCACGGGCTCAATGCCCAACCAGAAAGTAACAAAAAGTAAGTTTTTCTCTGCCAAATACTACTCGAAATAAAACAGCAAAACGCCACGTCAGACCAGGACCATCTATGCGATCGGTGCGCACGTAAAGACGCCTCGGACTGAGCCATTTTTGAATTGATGCATCTGGAGACTTGGTCAGTAATTGAAAACGGTTATCCAATGAAGAAAGGGGGGAGCTCACAATGTCGACAATACTGGCATAGGTTCCACAGACGAGGACAATGATGCCGAGAAGGAAACAAAAGGCATTTATCAGACTCCGGACAATGTTCTCGCGGGAGTGCCAGCTGCCCTCACGCAGGAGCTTGAACCACATCATGGCGGGGAGGTAAAAGGTGAAGCCCGAGATAAAGAGCGACGATGAGATAGACAGCAGGTCGGAGAAGAAGGGGATGACCTCTGCGATGATGAAGGCGATAATAGTGATGACGGTGATGAGGGCGAGCCAGGTGATCCAGCCGCGCGGGGTGTTGATGAAGCGCGTGACCGAGTCCTTGAACATGCGGCCGTGCAGGTAGCGGCCGACGACGGTGGTGTTGATGGAGCCCGAGATGAAGATGACAGGCAGAGCGATGCCAAAGGCAATCTTGGAGATGACGGGCCCGGCAGACAGCAGAGCGGGCGACTGGACGTCGGCGCCGACAAAGGCGTAGACGAGGGCGCCGGTGAGGGTGTAGATTGCGATTTCAATGATGCCGAGGGACCAGATGGACTTGATGTAGTGGCGGGGCGTGTGCATCTCGTCCATGAAGGAGAACTGGCACATACAGAAGCTATAGGCAAAGACAATATTGGCAATAGCGATGAAGGCATCGGCGAAGCTGATGTCGGCCTTGGGCCAGGCGGACCAGTCGGCGGCCGCCATGCCGCCCTCTTGGCGAGCAGCCTGGATGCCCGTGGCAATGATGGTCAGGCCAATGGCGATGAGGATGGAGGCAAAGTCGATGTATCCGAGGATGGCCACCTCGGCAAACGAAGGCGGGACGGCGAGGATGAGGAGGATGACGGCCGAGACGAAGCCAAAGACGACGGAGCAGGCGCCGTTGTTGGTCATGTTGAGAAAGGCAATGGTGCCGGTGAGGGTGTGGGAACCGACGAGAAAGGTGAGCTGCATAACAAACATGGCGCCGACGACCTCGTAGCCGAAGCGGCCCATGAGCAGGCGGCCGGCGTCGGCGTAGTGCTCGACCTCGGGGTACTTGAGCTTGACCTGGCCGACAATGTCGCTCGTGTAAATGGCGATGAGGCCGAGGCCGATGGTGCAGATGACACCGGCGACCATGCCGAGGGTGGCAAAGGCCTGGGGCAGGCTGAGAGAGCCGAGGGCGACGGCTTCGACGATGAGGACAATGGTGAGGCGCTTCCAGCCGAGGCGGTTGAAGCGGGCGCTGCCGTCGGCCGTCTTTTGCTTCTCGAGGTCGCTGCGGCGCTCCTCGAACTCGCTGACCTCGCCGGCGATGCCCATGACGTTGTCAGCCGACGAGGCCGACGACGTCTGCTGGTGCTGGCGCGGCTGCGACGACGTCTTGGACAGGTCCGACGAGTCGCTTGCCATTTTGGCGTCGGCGTCAAGGTAGGTAGCCATGTTCACCATGATCAAGGTTGCCGGAGGAGGAGAGAGGGTTGAGGACGGCGGTGTTGTTGATGGTTATTGTAGTGTTGGCCACTAGAGAGCCGCCCGCAATGGCTGGAATGGAAATGGCCCAAGGCGTTGAAGACTGTCTCTCTGAGTCTTGTCTTTGACGGCGGCTCGGGATCAGGGTCTCGGACTGGATCAGGGCGAGCCCCGTCGTGGAAGCTCGAGGGAGAAGTAGTGTTGAGCCACCTCTTCCGTCAACCAAGGTGAGATGCGAGAGTGAACAAAGGAAGGGGAAAGAGGAATGGAAGCTAAAGAGGGAGGAGAACAAGAGACAAGGAGGCGAGGGGGGGCGAGGAATATGAAGATGAAGAACCGGGGGGGGCGAGGGGAGGAAAAGGAGAACGGGGAGGGGTGGGACGATGGGGTAGAAAAGAGAAGAGGCAGAAAGGAGGCGTCGTCGAGTCGGAGAGGCACGTGGAGCGGCCCTGGAGTGGGTGACTAGCGCCACGCGAGCCCGAAAGATAAGGACTGGCCGCCCGAGGCTCGGCGGTGGAGGAGGCAGAGGAGAAGGCAAGAGCCAGTCTGTTGTCTAGCGTGGAAGAAGGCCGGACCCAACTTTAATGGACACGCGTGAGCTTTTACCAAGTATGGGCGTAGACGGCGAGAACAATAGACTCTAACTGCGTACAATTGGCACAAACGACGAGGCTGGGAGAGAGAAAGAGAGCGAGCGAGCGAGCGAGCGAGAGAGAGAGAGAGAGAGAGAGGTGCAGGGGGCGATGGGTGGGGGGAGTCACGGATGGGGGAGGGACGGAGACGCGCGCATAATTATTTTTTTAATTACCTATGTATTTTTGTGCGAGGAGCCCTAACTATACAAAAGACAGAGCACCAGAGAGAGGGAAGGAGAGCTGGAGAGAGAGAGGGTGGAGGCAGGAGGGAAGGGAGCAAGGGGGGGGAGGGGGCAAAGGACTCGGAAACAGCAGGTAGTGGTGGGTCGGCGAGAAAGAACGGATGGATGGAGGTGGGATTAGCTGTGGCCCAGTGGGTGCCAGAGTGGATTTGCCGAGGCCTTGGCTCGTACCAGGCCCGGACAAGAAATGCGAGGACAATATTGAAGGCCGCCTGGTTTCGAGATGGCGGCTCCGGCACCATGAAGTCATCCGGTCGGCCCTAGTGGCAAAGATGAGGGTTGGGAAAAGGAACCGGGCAGGTCGACAGCGGCACTAGCCCAGCACCACGGCACGCCTAGCCGACAGCAATTGCGACTACCCACGTATGCACCGTAATTGTAATATACATAAGGCCACAGAGACACACGCGCACCCCCCGCCCGACTGGCAGCCAGCGAGAGGCCGGCCAGAGAAGAAATAACTTAAGTTAAAGCATGCGGCCGCCTTATCTCGAGTGCAAACGCGCTGGCCGGCCCCCGCAAATGGCCCGTGTTTTTTTCTTCCTTCTTTATCAGCAAAGTGGGCTTGCCTGCAACGACGCCGGCGAGGCTCCATTTTGCATGACTCCCGTCGTCTGCATCTCCAGCCTGCACCCCTGCCTGCCTCGACGCTGGCTCCCCCTCTCTACTCTATCTGCCCCGGTCGAGTTGGTCCTCGACGGCTAAGCGTAATACGTATGTAGAGGCGGCCAGTCGACACGTCGAGACAAGACGGCCCTTTCGGGTGACAAGAGGGAGCGAAACGCGGCGAGGGCCCGAGCCACTCCGCCGGGCAGTGGGTCTGCCGGTCTGTGTCTGTCCGGATGCCTACATGCAACGTCATGGCCAGGTCCGAGTGCGCGCGATCGGCTACTTACCGTACACGGCGGCTCTTCTTCTTGCTGTTATCCTCTGCAGGGGTCCAGGCTGGGGGGGGGGGGGGGGGAGGGCGCGCGCCATGCCCGAGTCAGGGCCGGCGCCTGATGTGATTAATGAAGTACTACGTATTAATCGATGCTCGCGACGGGGTAGGGCCGAGCAATCCCGGCGGGCGGGCAATCCTGGGGTAGCATTCGCGGGTGCTGCTTCCCCGGGGAAAGTCAGTCTGGTCGACCCATGTGGCATCGGATACGATGCGATACGAGAGACAACCGACAGGGGCATTGTGACGACGACGATGCGCCAGTTTGGACAGGCCAAACGGACAAGGCGAGGCGCGTCGAGTGTCTGTGCGAAGCCATGACGACATGTGGCGCAGCCGAGGGTGGGGGTCCGGCCAGTCGGCAGTGGGCCGACACAAGGACGAACGAAAGCAGGGGAAAAAGGAAAAAACCGTCGAGAAGGAACATTCAGGGCCTGGCTAGGGAAACAAGCAACAAGCCTTCGAATTCGGTCGGCACTCTTGGCTGAGGGTGTGCAGCCGTCAATGGTCGAGTTGCATGCACTGGCCAGCCAGCCCCCCAAGATGGCGCCGCTGCAGATGCCGAGCTAGGCCGCGTCGGTGCTAGTAGAGCCGCCGCCTGGAGCCTGGAGCCCGGCACTGGGGAACGGCCAGATAGGCCTGTGGCACCGCCGCCCCTGCCAAGCAAGATAGAGTGCCAATTCGCGCACTCTCTTGGAAGTACCGTCACATCGCTGGGCGACGGGCCGAGGCCGAAAGGCATACGGTACTGTACAGTACCGGTACAGTACATACTACCTAGTACCTGTGCGTTTGCTCGCCGGCCACCGAGCCCACCGAGAACCATGCGCGCGGACAAGACCGTATCTTTCCAACTCCAACTACGTACCAAGTAATTAGGTATCTGAGCGATATTACCCACGATGGCTTTATTCCCGCCAAGTCTACGGATGGATGACCTTGGCTCGCGCGTCATGGCACAGTAGGCGCTGCTGCATGTCTCGTGCTTGCTGCGCATTAGGTTCAGTCCAGGACAAAGATGACGATGCCTCTACTGTACTCGTGTCTAGCCGAAGCCACAGAGGACCAGCCACGGAAGTCTATCCTTGTACCCGTACAAAGCACCGCCACACCACCACTCCGCATCCTTCGAGAAGCCTTCCACCCGCACCTGGCTCCTTGGCGCGCCGGAGTAGGCCGGGAACTAGGAGGACGAAGAGGGTGTAAATGACAGCTGCAAAAGACTTCGGCGTTGCTCCGAATGATGACCATTGGCCTGAACTCAATTGCCTCGGGACGGTTCGGAGATGCCTCGAGCCCTGGTCCTTGTCTGTCTCTCGCCCCGACGACGCATCATCCGCGTCGTCCTTGAGTGAGGCAATTGCAAACCGCTCCGGCCATGGCGGTGACAATGGAGGTGAGCAAAGCCAAGTCCGGCCCTCTGATAAGGTCGTGGCTCCATCCCTCGCTACGTACTCAACTACCTGGCCTTTACACCTCCACTCTGGACCATGATAAGCCGGGGCAAGCACTCCAGGTCGCCGCAGCGTACGCGCCCGGCATCCACTCCAATATCCAGGCGTATAAGCAATAAAACGGATGAAATGCAGCGAGGCGTGGCGACGAGAAATGGCGCCGGTTCGCCGGTCCTGGGTCCCAATCGGGCGCCGCCGCCGGGCTGACATAAGCCAGCTGCCAGCCGTCATTGAGCCAAGGGATTGTCGTTCCAATTGTTTGTTTGCTATTCGTCTTCGCCGCACACGCGCCCTCTCCACCTTTGTATTGCCGAGGATGCGGAGCGTGACGAGGGCCAAAGTTTATTAATTGATAAATGCCATTCGCCACGTGCTGTACTTGATAAACTGTGCAGTGCGGTACCAAGTTGTTGCAAACACGGCCGTCGGCTGCCACTTACACCCACCACCAATTCACCCGGGCATTGGTAGCAAATCCCCTCGGATCGCGGCAATGCGTAGCCAACCGGCTGGCAGTTCAACCCACCGCGCAGAGGCATCCCAAGATGCACCGCTGCCGTCCCTTCCGACGCGTCATGCACGCCGCCGTCATGTATGCATGCTTTGCCTGCATGCTTTGCCTGCATCGAACGCCTCATCCATCCATCCATCCCCCCATCCTTACCAGGCCTCTTTTGCTTTGACTTTCGGCTTGCCCTTTGACTCGGAGCTGCCCGTCTCAGACCATCCAAGCTGCCAGTCTGCACCATGTGTCTTCGCCTCACTCACTGCAAGAACACGCCCCCCCGTCTCGGCCCCCCATCCCCGGACATGTCATGCCCGGCACCAGATGGTCCCTTCTTTTACGTACAAAGCTGCATGCCGCCACGCATACGCCCGAGCCCGCATGATCCATCCATCGTCTGCCCATCGTCTGCCCATCTCCGCCTCCGCCTCCACCTCCGCCTTCTCTTCCCCATGGGGACGGAAGAGACACCCTGTGCCCCCTTTTTGGCTCCTCCTGACGTGGCGCCATCTCCATCTTTGTCTTGAACTCTGGCTGGGCCTTGGTCGTGAAACGCGGGCCTGGCTTTTCTTTACGTACTCGCAACCAGGAACCGCTGAGTCCGGGTGCGATGCAACGACTTCGCACAATGGCCTCGGCCCTGGCGCATCGCCGTCGCCTCACTCTCCATCTCGCTCTTGTTTCTCTCTCCCGTCTCCTGTCATATTCGTACCCCTCGCCTCCATGCCAACCCACCTTTCGACCCTGTCTCATCCATCCGAGACACCCTCGCTCCCCAAGCCTATCCCATCGCATCCACCCGCTGAAGGCCATCGGCCTCGCCCACCCCCAGCTTCCCCCGCGCGCCTCCCTTACAGTACTTGCTCCCACCGTCGTCCGCCACACCAACGACCCAGCGCCGATCCCGATCCCACCTCTAAGCCCGGCGCGCGGCATGGGGGTAGAAAGGCCGAGATATCCCCATGTTCCCCTTTGCACTCCCGCCCCCGCGGCTGCGGGTCATAAACTCTCTTTCTTGCTTGCTGGGGGGCTGCCGCGTCATGCGCCGCGCCTGAGCAGCGTCTCGGTACCCAGAGAGGCCTCTTCCTACATACGTGCACATGCAACCCCCCGTGGCAGCCGTGATACTCGTCCATTGCACCAAGCCCGTGAGCTTGGTGTCAAGTGTCCCAGGTCAATGGCATTGCCAATCCACATGGGCCGGCTACCTCCTGAGCTGCCGACGACACTGGCGGCCAAATCACTCTCCATGCTCATCTTGTCACCCTGGCAAAGCCTTCATTGACAGACAACAGGTTGCGCGACGAATATGGCTTCTCCTGTCATGGTTTGTCCCACGTCGTATCAACGTCTCTATTGTCCGCGCCCACCTCGTTGCCCCTGTTGCCTCAATGCTTGCGCTTCGAATTCACGTTGCGCCCAGCACCCACCCGGATCCTGCCTCCAGACCCCCCCGACCGGTCGCCGCTCAGTATGCCCGGCAGGTAGTCGTCGTCCATCAGGTCCTTCTTCCGCGCCCGCCGCTGCTCCTCCGACGCCCGCGCGTACTCCTTCTGGTCCTCGGCCAGCATCAGGCCCTGGCCCCATCCGTTCTTGCCCCCCGCGTTCGGCGCCAGCCTCCCGTTGGCGCTGCCGTGCACCGGCCGCGGCACGCTGTACACGTTGCCGCGGTTGTTCCACTGAAAGTTCTTCTTGAGATGCACCCGGAAGTTGCCGTGCTGGTCCGTCGAACAGCTCGCCCGCATCAGCGTCGGCTGCCCGCACGACGGGCAAAACTGCTTGTTCATGTCCTTGGTGATGGAGAAGCACCCGTGGCACCGCAGCACCCAGTTCTTGACCTGCGTGATTCGTGCCAGTGACGGCGTCACCAGGTTGAGGTTCATGCGGAGGGCCACGTTTTGCATCGCATAGTCGGACGTGAGAATGGCGGCCTGGAGCGTCTTCTGCGGAACCTGGGATGGCGTTGCCGCGCCCGCGTCCTTAGCCTGTTGCTTCTTGACGTTGGAGGGGGTGATCCAGCCGCCTTCGTCGTCTGATTCCTCGTCGGCTTCCTCCTGCGTTCTCGTTGTCTCATCAGGTTTCTCCCCGCTTGCCATCTCCAAAGGCTGAGCGCCTGCGGCATCCGCACTCTCTTGTAGTCTTGAACCGTCGTCCGCTGGAGGAGTTTCTCCCATTTCCACTCGTGCGGCTTGGCGGTCACCCGTTTCGGCCAACTCAAGTTGCTGCATGCTTCTCTCCAAAGGCTGGGGTTCTTGAGTAGCCGGCTTTGGGGTGTCGTGGGCGTCGGGCGCGTCTTGGTGATCAGCTTGTTGCGCAGTCTCGTCCGAGACCGTCTCGGCCTCCGCATCATTCGGTTCCTGTAAACTCGATGCGGCATCGTCTGCCTTTCCGGGTCGACCGTTCAGTCCCTTTTGACCAGGCGTACTCCTCAGCCTCCAATCGCCGCCGTTCCTCTCACACTCGAGCTCATAGCCGAGAGCCAGCACCTCCAAATCGGGTCGGCTGAGCACCGCCAAGTCTCCCGTCCTCCTGGCGAAGCCCTGTACAAACCGCAGGCTCTCAGGTCTGGGCGATCGCAGCGTGACAAAGGGGAGCAGTGTCGTCTCAACGCGGGAGCGCGTGGCAGGGTCACGGATTTCGGGGATGATGCAGGGGAGGGTGTAGAGCATCTCGGCCCTGGCGAGGAGAACGCTGGCAGGCGGGTCGTTTTTGATGAGGGGGCCGGTGTCGAGCACGAGGCTGTGTATGGGCTTGGCTGTCGTTGGGGACGACGAGGTCGAAGCAGTTGGACCAGAGCTGGGCTCCGGCGGAGGAGCGGCCATGGCGGGCAGATGTCGGGATGGAGACAAGACGTCTTTGGCTCTCCTAACGAGCTTGAGAGGACGGCTGGTCCCAATGTGTGATGGGAAATTTGGCAGAACTGGCACCTTATTTATTCTCTATCGTGTGTGCTTCATGCCGAATCAACATGTCAAAGCGCGGGGTCTCGACGCCAGAAAAAAAGTTGCACGATAAGATAAGGAAGCTCAAAGTCGATTTCTTCAAGCATCACGTGATGGAAGAGCCGTATGTTACAAATGAGCCTGAGGTTTCGATATGGATGGCCAGATCCGAGTCGAGCGAGAAAGGGGCAGACATGTGGTCTGGTTGAGGCTCGTTGATCAAATATGCGTGCAATGCCAATAGGTGTCAAGTAAACGCCAGCGCCCAGTGCCCATGTTTGAACGCCCGTCTCAATCACCCTGTCTCGGTGCTCGCCTTTACCCCGTCTCTTCTCCCTTTCCTCCCCTCTCCAGTGCAACTCTTTCCAAGCTGCCCTCGTCCTAGAAACCCCCCTCCCAGCCTGGGAGCGTAAACCTGCAATGCAATCCGTAACCACCGCAGTCCTCTACTGCGCGGCCTCGCCCTCGTCCTTTTGCTGCGTCAACAGCAGGCCGAAGCGGCGCTTGAGCGTAACGCGCTGCCGCGACCACTTGTCGTCGGGCGAGAAGCGCGCCGGGTGCGCAGACTTCGTCACCTGCCCGTGGGCCACCTTCTTGAGCGTGTAGAGGCGGTTGCCCTGCGCGTCGAGCGTGTACATGAGATGCATCCTGGCGTTTTTCCTTGCTGTCTGTCTACTTTTTCGTAGTCGGTTTGTTCGTCAATCGAGCTCCTTGGGTCCGAGGTGACCAGCAGGAGGGAGATAGGCTTGGTCGTCAGGCTGGGATGCAAAAGGTCCCTTGGGGGGGGGAAACGGTCTTCCGATGGGAGGGAGAATAATGAGACCTGTTTCAAAATGGAAATGGTTCGCTGGTCCGATCCAATTCTCCGGAAAAGGCTGCGTCGCCAGCGACAAAATTTTGCGCCGGTGGAAAGGCGCCCGCCATCACGTGCGCCAGGGCCCTTTATCGATCCTTTATCGATAACCCCACCCGAGCCTCACCGACCGCGAGCCTCACCGAAACCAGGCAAAGCGCCACGAGCCACTTGATGAGTGAGAATCGACTGCTTCCTGCTACTTCAGCGAGTGATTCGGCCGACCATCAAGTCATTTTTCATCATGTAAGAGAAGGCATGCCATGCTGGGTGCGAGGCGAGTCTTTAGCCCCGTGCCAACTCTCCATGATCCATCACCGAGGGCCTCCCTCAACAACTATCCACAGACTCACCTCGTCATCTAATTACCTCGGCGTCACTCAACAAAGCAAGATATCGTGGAACCAATCTGCGTCCCGCAATCTGCTTGTACGATCGGCACAACAGGCCGACGGACTAGGACGGCGGACTACAGGCAAGGTAAAGACTGTGTTTTGCAACCACTAACCAGACAGAGTAACCAGGCATAATACAACGTCCGTGGTCTGCTAAAATTTCCAGAAAGAGTGAAAATGGCGAGGATACCCTCCCCTTGCGTCTGACCACTCAACAAACAAAGCGATCGTACCGTGCCATGTCCCTACATGACCTCGCCCACCCTCGCAGCCTTGTCGCCGAACCAGTCCTCGCGCTCGTAGAACCGAAACACCAAATCGTAGTCCTCAAAGTCGTGGACGATGCGGTCGATGCGTCGGTAGCCCCTGACAGGGTCAACGAGCCTTTGCATGGCCAGGTTCTTGAAGTTTTCGTCCCCCATGCCATACGGATTGGCGCTGCGGCCCTTGGTCTCGAAGAGGGTCACGCTGAAGCGGCCGGGGCGGAAGATGCTGACGACATGCTCAATGATTTCCGCCGTCGTCTTCCCGTTCTGCCGGCCCGGCACGTTCGTCTCAAACGAGGCAAACGAGAAGCCCGGCTCCGGAGTGACGTGCACCGTAAAGTAGTGCGTCGAGTTGTGCTGGTCTACGTGGTCCGATGGGGGCGCGGGGATGACGCCGTTGGCCGAGAAGCCGCACGGACTAAAGAGATAGGCGTCCACGCGAGCGTCGGGGTAGACCGAGGTCGGGTATACCTGAGACAAGCCGCAGCTCTCCGAGACCACGGTGCCCAGCGCGTGGCCTTCGGTGGTCATCTCTTCGGTTGCATCGAGCTTCTTGGCCGACAGCCAGTCTCCGCTTTGGTTGTCAAAAACGTCCACCTCCTCGATTGGAGTGGACAGGCCATTAAGACTGACGGCGGCCTGGCGGCGGGCCTCTTGAGCCTCAGCAGCAAGCTTGTCGGTCGCGACCGCACTCGCATTGGACAAGAAGAACTGCTTGGCATTCTCGGGGTCGAGGTCCGTCATGAGGATCTCCAGAGTCTCGTCATTGTGGTGGGCTCCCGGAGAGTTTGCTCCTGAGCCGCCGGCGGACATGGACTCGGGAGTCGGGTGCCCGTTGACAGCTTGCAAATCGGGGGTGAGGGGAGGCGTGAGAGTCTTGTTTGGCGACGTGATGTAGAGATACCAGTGATCGCCGTTCATTTTGCCCACCATGTAGGCACTGCCGCCCCCCTCAATCATTTCGTCGAGATACTTGACCTCCTGCTTCCAGCTGCGGTGAGGACCGCGCTGCTTGTCGGGAAAGAGAAAGTTCTTGCGGCTGTAAAAGACGCGGTAAGGAATGGCGGCAGCTCGCACATGGTCGACCGAAGCGGCATTGCGAAAGGGGAAGCCGGCATTGGCGGCGGCAATGTGCAGCAGGCGCTGAAGGCCGAGAAGCAGAGTCGTGGTGCCGCACGTCTTGAGGATGAGCTTGTGGGGGAAGACGAACATGCTGGACTCGGAGAGCAGGTAGGCGTCGACAGCCTCGGATTCCAGCACCGAGAGAATCTTGCAGTTGACCATGTCGAGCATCCCAACCCAGGTCTCGGCCGCGACGCCCTTCAAGCCGTTGGGGGCGGCAGACGAAGGCAGCGCGGCGGCGCTGGGGGCGAACCATACTTCGAGCAGCTTCTCGGGCCCTGGGGGATTGTCAGAATGAATAGTGAAGCGGCCACGGGGCTGTTTAAATATGTGACGAACCTTCAAAGGCATTGCTCGAGTCCAAGTCGGCGGCCACATCGTGATTGATGGTCAGGTGTGGAGTTCCTTCAGAAGGAGAAAAGGTGTAGTCATTGGGGACCGAAAGGTTGACCATGCTGCTTCCTTTCGCCGTGGGCGGGTAGCAAGGGAATGGCCCGACGAGGGTTCGCTCGGGGTGCGGCTTGTTGAAGGCTGTCTCGTCTCCCTCGCCCGCTTGGCAGAGTCCGCGGAGCACTAGCTGCCACTCAAACAGACCTTGCGGCGCCTGCTTGAGCGGGTAGGCCCACAGGAAGGGAACGACGCGTCGAGGCTGGCGGAGCCAGCAGCAATGCGTCGTGTGCGAGTGCGCGGACCAACGTCGCGTAGAGGGACGTTATGGGGGTCGGAAGCGGAGGGAGTGGAGGAAGAGCTTCCGGGACAGAATGATGATGGGCCTGTGGCAGTCCGATACCCGTGGTCAAGTACCGGATCCAGCAGACAATAGCTATCTGCTCGACGAGGTCGCGTCAGGATGGGAGGCTCGCGTGCGCCAGAGGGATGCTATCGGGGCCTGGAAGAGGAAGTCAGTATCCGCGGTAACACGACATGACGGGCGCGTCCGAAGCGTACTTTGAGGGGCGGGAGAAGAGGAAGCGTAGAGGATCCGTCAATTGCATGAAAGGCCAGGACCTGACGAGCTCTGGACAGGAACCGGAATGGCGGCTAGCGTCGAGAGACGGCCGCAAGGTTTTGTGCCGAGGGCAGCAGTTTGGGGTGCGGCAATGCTATAGGCACATGGAGAGAACGAGGGCGACGTCGATGGAGCTGTGGTTGAGGGAGCTCTGGTCCTGGGTGGTTCTGAAGCTGTGCGCCGAGGCAAGTCGTGGAGCAGGCGAAGAGTTTTTTTTTGCCCTTGCAAGCCTTCAGGGGGGCCCCGCGCCAACTGCAGGCTCTCGATTGGTGGTGACGTAGGGGAAGCTCGATTGACTCAACGTTCCACTGTGCAGCGCGAGTTTACCAGCGTCGGACGGCAGAGGACGGCAGAGGTGTGTAGGGGTTGAACAGGGCATTGACTGTGCGAATGATGATTTGTTCATCAATTGCGTTTTGCCCCGAGACGAATCAATCGTGCCGCACGAGAAGAAGGCCAAAGAGCGCCGCAATCGAGCGGCGTCTTAGACTCGGAGCCGGCCTTTGGGCACTGTCGGCAGGCGTCGGGCCCTGATCAATTAGTCATTGGGCCTGGTGACTGGAGCGCCGCAAACGAGCACCTGCAGCATCAAAGGCACAATCGCGATCATCTCGGGTCTCATTTGACCGACCAAGCATTTTCGCCCTGCTGCTACATCGAGTCTAGACCTGTGTGACGTGCAAGACTCTGCGCCGCCATGTCATCTATCCGCCCGCGCAACCATGTCGCGTCCGCATGCTTTGCGCCAGTCCCTTGGCCGACGCCGTGGCTGCCGTCGTGCAAAACATTGACGATTGTGCCGGTCATAGAAGTCTCGAGTGGTTCATGCTGATCGCCGCGGCAACTATCCGTGCTTGGTGCAAGGGTCTTGCATGGATCCGTACCACGAGAGAATGCACGGGCGCGTCCAAACCACACCGCCCATCTCCGGCCTCGCAGAGGCGGCCAACCAACCGTGAAAATTCACGTCACCGCCGGCTCCGCCACGGCGTTTCCCAGCTTGGCCGCCAGGTCCCTGAACACGTACGACAGGGCGCAGTCTGTGTACTTGTCGACGAGGGCACCGTCGTCGCCCCCTGGTCGTCCCGGGTCTCGGCCCCCGGACATGTCGTGGCCGTCTATCATCGTGCCCTCCGGGTACTGCGGCCTCCGCCCCTCCTCCAGCAGCGCGATGAACTGCGCGTCCATGGGCACGGAGCCCAGAAACGGCACTTTGAACTCGTCGGCCATGGACCGTCCGCCGCCCGAGCCGAAAATGTCTGTGCACTCGGAGCAGTGCGGGCAGACGAAGCCGCTCATGTTCTCGACGACGCCCAGCACGCGGATGCCCGTCTTGAGGCAAAAGTTGAGCTCCTTGCGCACGTCCGACGTGGAAACGGCCTGCGGCGTTGTGACGACAACGGCCCCCGACACCTGATGCGGCCGGGCTTCGGCCTGCAGCGTCTCGGCCAGCGAGATGTGCTCGTCGCTCGTCCCCGGCGGCGTGTCAATGAGTAGGTAGTCCGTCTCGTCCCAGAGCACGTCGCGGAGGAACTGCCGTATCATGGCCGTCTTCTTGGGACCCCTCCAGACGACGGCATCGCCCCTCCGGGCAAGCAGGAAGCCAAGACTCATGGCATGCAAGCCCCCGATGCCCTTGGCGGGGTCGGCCTCGTGGACGAGCACCGGTGCCCAGCCCCCGGGGACTTGGGTGACCTTGGCCGACTCGATGGACAGCATGCGCGGGATCGACGGGCCAGTCAGGTCGACGTCGAGGATGCCGACCGAGTGACCGGCGAGGGAGAGGGAGAGGGCGAGCTGCGTCGTGACCGACGACTTGCCGACGCCGCCCTTGCCGGACAGCACCTGCGTCTCGCGTCAGCCAAGAGCGATTCCGAGCCTGTCTGCTTTGCGCCGCGTACCAGCACGATGTGCTTGACCTTGTCCAGCCCCATGGCGAAACGGTCTGCGGAGAAAGGTTGGCTGCGTCGAGGGAGGCAAGTTGGAGGCAACGCTGTCAGACATGCAGACACGGGCTGCCAGAAGTCATGAGGTGTAGCCGCACCATGGCACCGGCAAAGCGCGCAAATGCGATGCGATGCGCGCCAACCGTCGACTCGGCGATGGCGATTAGCAAGCAACTCGGGTGGATTCTGATGTGCGGAGAATTCATTGGTAGGTACTCCGTAGCTTGGCTGCCTGAGGTAAGCAAGCCGTGCTGCGTACCGTAGGTAGGCACGTGGAGACCCATGTACTATGTACCCTGTCTCTCTCTGTGTCTCTATTCAGACGTCCGCCTGGCTCCTGGTAAAACGCTGCAAAATTCCCCGCGTCATGTCTCCCCTTTTCGTCATCCTAGACCTTGTCTGATCAAAACCTGCTCCACGTCTTTCCATGATGCGCCGGCCCCGTACCGAGGGCTAATGAAAACAAAGACAAAATGCAAGACTCGCTCGAAACACCAAATGACGCGTGCGACGAAGCGTCCAAGAGCCCAAGGCCCGCTCTTCCATCCACGTCCTTTGCTTGCTTGCGCGAGGACGGCGACTTTTTACCACGCTCAGCGTCAGCTCCTGCTCCATCATCGCTCTGTTAGGTCGCTCCGGGCTTCCTTGCTTGGTCCTGGCGACTCCGGGTCCGGCGCAAACGTGATGACGCCCTTGCGATACGCCATAATCGGCCGGTCATCGTCGCTGTATCCGAGAATGTCTCCTTGGTGACGCATCGACTTGGGCAGGGGCCTAAGAAATCGCACAATGGGGCCTCCGTCAACGGTCGACCCGATGAACTCGACTTGCAGCTTGTTGTACGTGTCTTCGCCCGACGAGTCCATGTCGCGCGCCGTTTCCATCGTGTCTCTGGAGACGCCAGTGTCAGCTCCTCCGATGCGTCAAGTGGCTGGCTTCAGGGTCACTCACTCTTTCCTCATCGATGGACCACTTCCATTCAAGCCCGACGACCTGCGTCGCATTTTCTTGATCCTCGTCCTTGTGCAGTCATGGAAGAGATGAAGCACTCCGGCAATCACGAGAACCGGCGTTCCCAGGGCAAGCGCCCATGGACTATTGTTGCGGGCGTCAGTATCAGGTTGTAGTCTTGCGGCCTGCTTGCAATGGCTTACGGGTGTTTGCTGTCCCACAAAGAATGCAGCAGGGCGAGGATGATGCCCACCATGGCGATCAAGGACCCAATCTGAATCATGGTCCAGGTCGACCAGTAGAGCGACATGAGGTCCTCGCCATCGCAGAACTGGAGCGCCAGGAGCGCAAACGCCTCCATGACGACGACGACTGTTGACACTGCAACGCAACCGGCGCAGAGAAGGATATATGTCCGCAATGTCCTCGCCCGTTTTTCACTCTGTAGAGAAACCCGTTCCAAGACTTGCTGTCCTCTGCGCGCAGGGCCATGTCAGCATCGATGGCAACTCAACACGGCGGACGGGGACACTACATACTTTGTGTATATCCACGAAGCAAGGAACAGGATGATGAGGTTTGTTCCAAACATAGCCCAGTATATGCTCTTGAACTGCCACCGCTCCAGGCTCGACGCAAATTGTGCATACTGACGACATAGTTCCGGGTCGGGTTCGAAGTGGCCTACCATGGCGACGAGACAGGCTCGGATCTCGACGTCGGAGTGCTTTTGGTGAAACAAGCTGTCCGTGGTCCAGGCTCGAGTCGATCAACGAGTGTCGTGTCGAGGTGTGAGATGCTTCCAGACTCAACTTGAGCAACCAGTCCTGCCCCGGATACATATACCTTTGGGCTAGTGCAACACGGGGTCCGGGGTCAGTTCCGTTTGGCCGGGGCACAATAGCTCTACCGGTGAGTGAAAGTCCAAGGTGGATACGGGCAAGCGCGGCACCATAGGGATGACACGCAATCGCAAAGGCCCATTGTGCTACCCAAACCCTTACTGAGCGCCGGCTGCATGTTGGGGCTGAGACAAGATTGGCAACGGGGCAGGGGTCAAACAGCAGTGCAAAGAAAGCAGGGCTTGGCAATGAGCCGCGAACGGCGTTACAGGGAGACGAGATGCCAGAGTTTACGTCAACGGCAAGCGAGATTGGCCCGCGAAGGACAGCAGCCGGATCGGGGAAGCGGCAGCAAGGGAGCGCGGACAAGCCACACGAGTAGCCGCCCTTGAGCCGGAAACCGACTAGGGTTCGGGCCAACGGCCCACATGCCGCCGCCGGACATTTGGGGGCCAAGGGCCAGAAAACAGTCCGGGACCTTGTTGAGATTGAGGAGCCGGTAGTTGGTCCTGTTGTTAGTTGCAGCCAAGCCCAAATGGGGCAAACTGGGCTACTAGCCAACCGCGCCAAGGTCTCGTTCCGTGCCCATGGGGAAAGGGGGGGGGGTGTCGGGATAGATAGACCCCCTCCTCTCTCAGGGCAAATAAACCGTTTGCTTTTACTTTCTGCCAAGCCAGCGTCCAAACTTGGCTGTGTATCGGTTACTTGAAACTCCAAGCTGACTGGTGTCACCGGAGGGATTATGAATCAAGAGACTGGTGTCATGCAAGACAACAACTTGTCATCAAAATCAAACAAACATCAAGTGCTCGCATGGACCGAGGACAAGGTCCCTGAACACCCGGAGGGACCGCCGCAACAGGTTGGCACTTGGCACCGTCATGGCGCCCCGGGTCAGCACAGTTCCTGCTTGGCGTCTAAAGCCACCCTAGGGCTGATGCCAAGAGCGCCGGAGCAGGGGGTCGAGACTTGCGACAGCGGCGGCGATGCGTCGACGAGGATCGACCAATGTCGGTGCCACGATTAAAAGGCTGTGCAGGGCTCGCTTGGCCTCGTGACTTGCACCGACAGGAAAGCCTGCATGCCAGATATTGAAGCTGGTGGTGCCCAAAGGACAGCTCCCACCACGGGACACTGCATCAGAGACTGGCCAGGGGGACGAGAAACAGGCCGTTATGCTTAATTTAAGGTTGTGCCTTGATCGGAGACAGTCTGGCCGCCGACGGTCTGGATCATGGCGCAGGATAGTGAGTACAGTACGCGATGCAACGCTCGCTGCCCAGGTTGCCGGTTCTAACGACCATATTCCGGATGTGTTAGCCTCGTGTTTGCAACGTGGGCTTTGCTGTCAGGTCCTTTGACCAAGCACAGCCCGGTGGAGGGAGGTGAGACACGACCCTAGACTCCGCCACGGCGTGCGCCATGCTACACCACATCTGATTACCGTTACCAGGTTCCGAGATAACGGATGGCTTTGCAGCTACGCCACCATCACGGAAGCGGGCTCTTGACGGCGGCGGGCCGATAAGACCGAAGAAGAAACAGCACCGTGGCGTCCCCTGCCCTGCCACGCATCTGCCAGGCGCCTGTTTGGGTCCTATCCGGTGCGATGAGATGAGGTGACACCGGGCTGGTGACGGCTTTGTTGCTGCCATTGCTTTATCCATTCGTCCCATATTTTTCTTCTTTTATTGGCCGCTTTCTGCAAACGAACAGTGAGCGTCATGGGCGACTACCTTCGAAGTTTACTCCATGTCAGTCAACTACTTACACGCACGCTCTCGTTCACTAAACGACATCCAGACGCTTTCGACGCCGGGGGCTGACAACTCGACGTTGCACTGCGTGGGTCGCGTCAGCACCCTCGTTTCTTTTTATCTTTATTTTTCCTTCTATTTCTTGCTCAGCCGTCTCTCCTGTACTGCGTATACCCTGTCGGTTCCCTGAAACCACAAGGTGATAAGGGATTAAGGTTAGCAAATCAGGCAGAGAATAGGCACCAGGGCGAGCCGCGTGGTCATTGACTCCCGACCCCCCTGCCCCTGTCACCGCCCTCCCTCGGACAGAGTCGGGGAGCCACGCCCATCAGCCCCGTTGCCCATGTTTAACAAGCTTGCAACCCCCCCACGTCCTCTCCCGCCGCTACCGGCTTGAGATTCGCTCATGACAGCCGTTGACGGTCCAAAGTATCCCACGACACCCGCCCTTTGCCCCTTTACTTCTAGCTCGTTGAGCTTTCCTGGGGAACCTTTCCTCCCTCCCTCCACTCGTCGCTGCCTTGGCGACATGGTGCCGGCCCCCAACGACGCCCCGCGATGTCCCTGTCGCCGGTGAGCGTCGTCCAACGTGCTGCCTACCCTAGCGTGCGTGCAGCCAGGACATAGCCCGGCCGCCCGTCAACGTCAGCACGGCGCGCGCCTGCACCCGGCCTCCGGCGCGGTGCGGCCGGATGAACAGGGGGGGCGGTACTTATACAACCCCCCGCGGCCGGTGAGATGACTGTTGGGCAGTACCAGGCCGCTGGGAAGCGTGGGGGAGAGGATCCGTGACCAACAGGCTCGTCTCCATCTGAATTTCCCGAGGCTGCTGGCGGCGCCGGGGCCAGAAACGTCCCACCCCCCAGCTCTTCTCTAGTCGGTAGATGATGGCCATTGGCTCTACCGAGTCCGGCTTTGACAAATGTGACGAAGCCCACCAGGGGTTGTGGCACCCCCGCGCCCTCAATATCGAGCCGGGAACGCCTCTTTGCCTCGTTCCGCACCTTCCGGATCGACTCATAATGCTGTCTTTTGTAACATTTGCCGTCAGCCGTCATCACGATCACCCCGATGGACCCTGCCAGATAAGCGTGACGTGCGGCAATGCGTAGACTTCACGACAAGGGTCTGATGTAACGCTTGGTATCGGGCATAGCAGGAAAATGTCAAGCTCTGGATGATATGCACGTGTAATGTTTTCATTCGCTCTCGGACAGCGTGTTGAGTGAGGATAAGGCATGTATTTTGCTGGAGGAGCTTTACTGCAACTGGAGTCATCGGAAGCGCTCGAGGCGCAGTATTGCTAACGTGGTGCACGACAGTATCCCGTACAATGGGACCAATTGGACCAGAAGCAGTGTACCAGGGCTGTGCTCCTCCCACCTTGATTCAGGTCGTGGTTGCTCCCACCTTGATCCAGGTCGTGGTGGCATGGAGATAACCCTTGCATGTGCTGGTCCGGGGGACTCGCGCATCCTGGGGCGCTGGTCACATTCATTTCATACCGTATTGATGTCTGGCTATCATTGGATTCTTTGTTCCGGAAACAGTCTGGGATCGACAGTGGTTGCCTTTTCCTTAGGCATATTCATTCAGTTCTCCAGAATGGAGTGATCACAACATCAAGCCTGGCGATGGCATGGCTCAGCATGCATCCAACGCTCCCTTCTTCTAAGTTCTTTTGCCTCGACCATGTAGTCTCATGGCTAGGTGCCCCAAAAAAAGCTAGACGATCGAAGCTCTGACGAGCTGTTCCGGTCTATATCTCAGACAAAGCATGTGAATACACGCAGTGACTCTTTGCCTCATGATACGTGGCCCGAGCCGCGTAGCAGGCAGCTTGTTTGTCGTGTCCTGGAGACTAGAATACCCGCAAAAAGGACGAGATAAACCTTTCGGGAGCCCGGTGCCATTAAATACGACAGCTCATGCCTTATGCGTCGAACCATATGGCTAAATAGATACGCAGCATAATATCGCCGCACTTCCATAAACGCAGGTGACTCTTCTTAAGGGTTGCCCAGTCATTACAAGGCAGAGCTCTTGTCACCCGATGGAATTCAGCACCTTCGAGCTATGAAGTTCTTAAAAGTCACGGACATTCGGGTGGATCCTTGCCTGAAGCAACAAACAAGCCATTCATGAAGTGCGCTGAAGCCCACATGTATGGCTTGGTGGGACGCTCGTAGGAACACGGTTCTCATGTTGAAGCTTCGATAACCCCGAAACACTTGGCCAATTTGAAGGGTCAAAATATTAAAATATCGTAAATCTAATTATGCCCTCAAAACCTATAATCCCAGTACATATAGCGGCGATCAGACAGACTCTGTGCCGATTTATGCATCCCTACGGTAGCTTTTTTGTTTCAACAATCTCCCATAGATATATGCCATCTCCAATTACGTCGAGCCAGAATTCATACATGAACCCAATTGCCGCAGCTTGGGATCGGGGAACTCGCATAATGGGTGGAAATAGAAATTATAAAACCATTTACAAAAAACATATGATGCGAATATCCATATGAAGGAAGGCAGGCAGCTGGCTCTGCACTTCGAAAATAGTGTCGAGCATGGCTTGTAGTAGAGCCAACGCACTTAGTTCTCCGGAGATGAAGTTCTATGATTGATGCGTGGAGGAAAGTTCTATGATTGATGCGTGGCGGAAAGTTCAATGATATAATCTAATCCGTTGTTGTCAGTTCGCTACCGCTTTTATCACACAAGTGGCCCAGACAGTATGGATGACCGACAACGATCGGGCTTTCACAAGGAACTTTACAACACATTTGCGATGGACGGCATGGTGCAGCACGCAAGGATGAGGACGGCGGGGGCCGCATAAGTGATAGACAGAGCTGGGAATTCGATATTATACGGCTGACGCCATCTAGCGTTGGGGAGGCTTGTACATACTCCGGAACCCGTTGCTTCGTCACCCTGGTTCCTTCGCCAATGTGGCTACGTGGGACCATCGGCCGGGGCAAATCCAGTACTGCGGGATATCGATTGTATTGCCGATTTACCAAGGCTGGTCTTCGTGCAGACTACGTTCCGCGGCATCCACATAAACAAAAGTCGTAACCTGGCAAGACATGGCTGTCTGGTGGTTGGTATTGCCTTGCCTGTAAAGCACGGCGCCGCGAGGGCCAAGATAGGCGTCGGATGCAAGATGTAAGACTACCCAGTTTGAAGCTAATAATTCTTGGCAAATGGCAAAGTGATATATCTGCGCAGTCATACCCAATCCGATGCCCACGACATAAACAAAGCCCCCATGCAGGCGAGAAACAGGATACGACGTCTGCCTACCAACCATCCCAGACTCTTGGCCAGGGTCCATCCGGCATGCTGCAGTTTCGCTCGTGCCGGGAGGTCCACAAACTCGAGCCGTTCTGCCCCCTTGAGGATTGCAGCTGAAGACCCACTAGGGATGTCATGCAAGGCAGGGAAGATGTATCTAGCAAAGAGGCGCTTCACCATGCCGTCGCCGGCCTGCAGGCGGGCGAGGAACTCCGACCGCCTGCAGGCATTTTTTGTACTGGCGAGTCGGCTCGCGATAAGAGGTCGCACTATGTCTTCCATTGCTCGGGTTTCGGCCATGCCCTTGCCGAGATCCCCCTTCCACAATGCATTGGCCAAGGCCGAAGCATCTTCAATGGCCATGTTGGCACCCTGGCCAAAGTTGGGCGCCATCTGGCTTTGTCAGTCATTGATACTCCGAAAGCAACACGGCACTTACCTTGCGTACTGCATCCCCGATGCACATCAAGCGACCAAAATGCCACGTCTTGAAGTATCCTTCTTCTAGTGGTGTCATTGCGAATATGTCACAGCTGATCCATACATCTCCAAAGGTCAAGGTCGAGTCGATCTTCTTGGTCTTTAGGCTCTCACAGATTTCGCGGGCATCCTGAGTGTCGAATTTCGGCCTATCGCCATAACAGTATCGTTCTATCTTAAGAATAACGAACCAAAAGACTTTGGTATTCCTGCCGCTGAACACATGGATCGTAACACCATGGTCGAGTAGACTTAACTGGACCCCGTCCTGCACGCCGGGAACTCCAGACGAGATTCCGTATACGCAAGCGTATTCGATCCTCAGAGCTGACAGAATTAGCCTCCTTCCGCGGCGCCCGATACGTAACCTTACCAGACTTTTCGCTATCCGCAATAGCCCCGGGCTTGGCCTGATTGGCCTGATTCCAGATCTCTGCTCGAACAATGCTGTGGACTCCATCGGCCCCCACAACCAAGTGTCCCGAGTATTCCCTATCGGCAGTTCTGGCAACGACGTGGGACCCTAGATCCTCAATGGATAAAACCGTCTGGCCGGTGTGGACTCGATCCTTATAAACGAGCTTGTTATAGAGGATTTCGAGGAACTTCTGGCGTTCGAGGAATGATAGCGGATATCCAAGACTGGGTTCCAATTTAGCCTTAAAGCACCGGGGGCGTCTTATACTTACTGATCCCTAATTATGGACGGGTATGTAGTTCGGAAGAAGTAGCCATCCGGGAAGCATATTCGTGCAAGTTCTAGAGGTTCAATCACCCTTTCAACAGAATCAAAAATGCCGAGCTGGTCGAGAATAACAGCCCCGTTTGGGAAGATGCCTATCGACGCTCCGACCTGAGGGCATATGTCGTCGCTCTGCTCAAGAATCTCGTATGAAATTTCCAGTCTTTCCAGACAATTGGCGAGCGTAAGCCCTGCTACAGAGCCCCCAATGATCAAGACTTTGAAATTTTCCATTGGGCCTGGGATGATCGTGTGACAAGACAAATGGGACCTAATGGACCGAATTGTGTCAAGCCCAACGCAGTAAAGGACTATTTAAATAGCCAGCATTGATGGGCAATGACATGCAGCGTTGTGCCGCTTGGCCAATAAGCCAGGAAATGGGATCGTGTCCGTATGTGTATGTGCCTCCACCTTTTGGTTGGATCTAGACTTCGGTGCGTTTGAGGTCAATTGCCATTACGACCTGGGCCGGGCTGGAGGCAGCCGAAGTGGGAGACCTTCGCCAGCAGCCATGTGACAATCACGAGCGCTTACCTCTGGTGCTTGCCACGTGTATGTTAGATGTCCGCTGAGGCGGCATGTTGCAGGGGGCGAAGTTGCAGCCATTACGTCGAGTTGCGTGACACGGGCCATAGCTGCTGCCGCTTTTGTTTAGCCTCTCTGAGTGTCATAAATCATTCTGCGGATCATGAGTGTCACTCCACCAATGCATGGGCCCGGGATTGTCTGGACCAAGCCTGGCTATTCAGTTGCAAGGCGACGCTGAAGGCTGGACGAGTCTAGGTGCAGCCTTCGACATGGCCTCCGCTGCTCGCAAGAGCGGTTGCGAGGGACGACATTTTTTTAAACAGTATTAGTCGAGCTATACAAAGAGCGAGTGAGGGAGTCCTGGAAGAGCCCGTTACTTCTCTACTCGTCCCACATTGATCACGCAATACCTCCAGTCCTTGCTCCTGAAATGGCTGGAAAAATTCGCGCCGGCCAAAGTAGCGTCGGCTTTGAGAACCCATATAAAGCGACTTAATTTTGCCTTCGTTGCCTTTGATCCTGTTGTGCCAGTCACCAAAAGTGGAGGCCATCTCCACATGGGTGACTGGTACAAATGGCCTAAGTAGGCACCATATCTCAATAGATCCAGGTGACCCCAGTATATCTATGAAGGCATACTTCAATCCCACGGCCATGGAACTTGCGAATGGAATATCTTCGACGGATATAACTTGGAATGTCCTTCGCAAGCTAACACCTTCCTTCGATACGACCTGACTCGATGTATTCAAGCGGTAAGTCCCTGGTTTTGGATTCGTTTGATTCACCTAATGGTGCCTACTTCCCTCCATTGATAAATTTGTCACACGGCGTGCATGATCCTCTTCAATTGTCCTCGTAGGAATCGACTGCGTCGACAAGGCGAGTCTCTCGGACACGAGTTATTTTTATTTTTATGCATATAACAACCCGTTTAATACGGTACGCGATTACATGACCCTAGGCGGCCGTCTCCAAGATAAAAACACGCTCAAAGGCTTGTCGATATTACGGCACGTCTGGCACCTTCTGCTCCAAAAGCCCGAACCCATCAAGGACGACTACGACAAGTCCATTAACAGCGGCTCTTCCCACAAATTATTGTTTCAGCTTAGAAGTAAGGCCTAGCAAGCAGGCCCCTAAAGTCATAACCTACCTACCGACTCAGAACTACAGGCGAAGCGACGCGGAGACGCTGGAAAACTACGAGTAAGTCTTCCGGAAATGCGGCTATAAGTAGGGGGAGGAAGGGAGGTATTAAAGGCTTTCGAGAGTGGCTTGTACGTTTGTCCCTCCCTACGTAGATGACTTGATAGCTGCGCTGACGTTCATCTCTAGTGGGCCGGTGAATTACCACCGCGAGAGGGCTGTCCATTGCGACACATCTTTCCAGTACTCCGGGGAAAAGGGAATCTATCAGACACTCTATTTTAGCTCGTCTCTCGGAGAAGAATAGCTTGAGAGCTCATTTATCGAATCGAGTGGCAGCTTTTATATATGAAGTAGAACGTATATATAGGACTATATAAGCCTTTTTCAATAACCTCTGGAATATAGCCTCTCCTTTTTAGTCTTTTATGTTCTACTTATAACCCACATGTCTATGCCCTATTAGGCAAGCCGTAGAGCCGTAGTTACAGTATCTATGTGATTTTATAGGAGGACATTTATACGCTATTAACGGGCGGTCTAAAAGACATGCGTGCTTACGAGCGTGCACGAAACTCGTTTCTGATAAATCAAACATGTGCATTTTCGCATCCAATGAGGCGCTTAGAGGGCACTTCAACATACAAACGGACCTTTCAAGCACCAAAACCCGGGTCTAGTCATTGCGGCACTTTGCCAGGGATCAATCTCTTCCAGATCATAGATTTCTTCGTCTTGGGCTTCTGGTCAGCCCTCTGGGACGCCTCGTTCAATTTTCCCCTCCCAATCGCCGCGTCGCATACATTCGCCATCGCTTGCACCGCATCCTCGACTCTACTTGAGCTCGCCGTCTTCTCCACGGATACATCCGTAAGGACGAATTTGGTCGCGTTGACGACGACCGTGTCCACGTGGACGCCCACCCTGTGGTATTTCAGCTGCAGCTCGCGGCCAGCGGGCGTGGGGCGGAAATTGTTCTGCAGAGCATCGAACTCGAGGTCTGCGGTCTCCTCCTCGGGGCCGCCGGAGTACGGAGCCTGGAGCTCCATGGCATGGAACCCGACTCGGAGCCCGTCGATGGAGCCAAGCATGACGAGCAGCCGCTCCCCGTCGTCGTTGCGCGTGAAGAGCAAGACACCAGCGAGCTGGCCTATGCCTTTCCGATCCCTAAAGGCTGCAGGCTTCGGCGGAGGAATCCACTCCCTCACAATCGCTCTGCTACTCAATATGACGGGGATCGGGTACCGCTGCTGCCCCGTGTCCACGATGACCCTGTCCAGTTTGTATACCGAGGGCGCCGGCCCTCTACGCAGCTGCAGAACGTGCTCCGGAAACACGCCCTCGCTGTCGGCGATGCCGCTGAAGTTTTGCCTCACGTAAACGGTCTGGCGCTCCCCGCGCTCAAGCACCTTGGCAAACTGGCTGACTCGGACTCGGGCGAACTGCTGATCGCCGTGAGAGATCTTCTTGAGATAGATGGCGAGGAAAGAGCTGTCTTCGTAGTCGGGGGGCGCCGGGCAGTCGAGTGCGGCGACGAAGATGCTATCAGAGTCCTCCTCGCGGCGCGTCATGGGTAGATCGATGCACAGGCCGCGGTTTGTGAGTTGGTACGGCGGCCGGGGCTCCCAGTCCTGATAGGGGAACACCGAGTTGGAGTAGGCAAAGTTGAGAGGGGACTTGGCGAGGAGCCCGTGATAGGCGTCGACGGAGGCGTCGACGTCTACCCATGCGAGGAGTGACTGGTCGTCCGACTGCTTCATGATCTCTTCTTGTAGTCGCAGGAACGCCCGCTGGCCTTCGCCATACAGCATGGGCATGTTGACTCCAAACACTCCCATGAGGCAATAGGCGACGTCCTCGGGTCGAGTGGTGCGCCGGTGCGCCGCCCACGACATTCTCCTGGCGACGCTCGCCGACTCGAGCGCCCTCGCACCCGTCAGGATCCCCTCGTCTATCCCGGTAATGACGGACAGCGGGCGACTCAGGGCCGCCTTCTCGCCAATCTTGATCCAGTCCTGGGAAAAGAAGACAAGGTCCACGGGGGCCAGCAGCTCCTGCAGCGTCCAGCCTCTGGTGAACCACCTGCAGCGGGCGAACTCGCCATCCGTCTTGCTGGTGTCGGCCGCGGCGGAGACGCCGGAGAGGTAGGTGTAGCAGACGTCCGAGTTCTTGTACCACGCGTACATGGAGTTGATGGCCTCGGAGAGCTCGGCGCTGCTGCTCTTGTCGATGCAGCACGAGTCGATCCAGATCCAGTCGAGGCCATCCTTGACGGCCTGGGTGCAGGTGTATCTGACTTTGTCGAAGGAGCTCTTACGAGTCGCCGTGCCGTCGACGAAGTTTGCCCAGATGACTTCGTCGTCGCCCCAGGTGTGGGAGAGAATGGCGTATGGCTTAATATCATCGGGTGAGAAGTCCTTGAAGACGAGACCAGACGGCTCGTCCAACGTTGCGGCTCTAATCAGCCTCATCGCGACTCGATTTCACTGCGTCGAGGGTTTATCGACCCCGGCGGAACGCTGTATCCGGTGCATGTGCCGCAACGAGCCCTCGCGATGCTGCAGTTATTTGAAGGGGTCTAGTCGGCAGGCTGTTTTTGACAGCCTGCACGGCTGGCTGGAGCGCTTCTTTGGTCCATTGAGCTTGCCTAGCTATTGATAAAGCCTGGTTGGCTCAGAGGATTGATATTGGGGGCCGGAAGTGGCGGTGGCTGGCTCGTGTTGCCTTGCGATCGACTTGGTGCTCGGAGGCCCCAGCAAAATACAAAACCAATAATACAATGCGCCTCGGTCGAGGCCAAAGACGCACATGGTCTCGACTCTTTAAGGTCGCCGCCGAGCCTTGTCTCACTCACCACGCCTCCACAAGTACAGTCCAGCCCAAAGACCAAGACAAGAACGACAAAACCTCGCGAGGAGTCGGAACGGTTTCGCATCTCGGTCCTTGAAATTACTCTTTTTGACAATTGAAATCCCAAGGCCGCTTCATCAACGCCTCGCACCGGTGTACTCGTGACGCCAGTCAGGAATCAGCATCAATGGCGACTACAATCCAGGATGCATCCATCGGCCCTGCGCCTGCCAAAGAGATGCCAGCCAACTTGTTCCAGACCGAGTCAGTCTCTTCTCTTTCTCGCAGCACCATCCATTTTAGTGCTAACGAGTTTACAGGCAGACGGGTCAGATTGGCAGCGGCCAGGCCATGCCAACCATCAACCCATTGCCAAATCCCCAGACCGTGACTCCGCTGCACTTACTCAACGGAGCGCCGCAGTGGATCGACTGCCCCTTCTGCCAGCGGAGAACACAGACGAGTGTTGAAAAGATGGGCACGGGGATGCAAACGTGAGTAACAAGAAGCTTTGCGACTTGCGGAAGACCATTCACACATGTCCCAGAAAGCTAACGTTAAAGACCCAACAGACTGGCTGCCGTCTTGTGTTGCATCTTTTGCATATGCCTGACATGTGTTCCATGTTTGGCTGGTTGGTGTGAGAACGTTGAGCATAGATGCTCTAACTGCAACAATATGGTGGCGCTTCAGCCGCACGACGGCCCAATGCAGACTTTTGGGCCGCAGTCTAAGCAGAGCCAGGTGGCTTCTCAGTACCCTGCAGCCCGGCCGGTGCCCTGTTCCTCCAAAGTAGAGCGGTCGTAACGTCTAAGGCCACGGCGGCTGGACATGAATGCACAAATGCTGGGTCTCCAGAGGTACCGCACAGCGTTGGCAAGGAGGAGAATATACTCTAGAGCATCTTTATCGTTGACAATTAACTTGCTCTTGCTTATTCCAAAGTAGAGTGTCACGGGCCGGTCAGGGGGCGGAGCGACCGAGTCCCGCAGCATCTAGGCCCGGGCCGCCGGGTGATACCCGCCAACTGCCAGCCACTAAAGGCGAGGAAGCATGGCCATTCTCGGGGTGCTGGAAGGGAGCTGGACCGACATGGCATTCTGGAGTTCCGGAATCGGCGAGTGTGCGCGTCCATCTGCCGCCCAACGCCTTTCTGTAAGACCAACAGCCCTGATCCAGTTTCCTCTCCATTGAGGTGGTGCCAGTCCACTCTTTCTCCTTTCACTGGTCCCCCCTTTCTCCCTCTTTCTTTTCTAATTAGAAACAGAGCGAACCGCCAACTGCCGCAGCAGATTATGCATGCAGGCTTGGGGGCTGAGCGCCAGGGGAAAATGGTTTGCGCGACTACTGCGAGTGGCTTGCTTACACGGCCCCGTTGCGCCCCCCGTTGCACAGCGAGGCGGCACAGGGGATAGAATTCGATTTCGGCCCGTTTCGTTGGTGGATGACGGAGCCGCTGATGTTTTGCTTTCCTTGAACAGTCAAAGTCAGCCGATATATGAGCTTCTACCTCAAAGACAGCACTATCACTAGTTCCACCAGTTTTTGCTTTCCTCGCCATCACAATCCATTCATCATACATAAACCGAGAGTTGATTCGCTGCCCGACTCGCTGGGATCTTTTGTTCTGACCTGTCCGCTAGCCATTCACTCGCCCGTCCGAAAAGGGGCTGACAGGCCTTCCCGCACACAATATCTACTCGGGAAAGTAACCGCCAGCTTCTACTGGGGCCCTTCGCTTGGCGCTGTCTGCCAGCCCGGCAAATCGATTTTACGGCAGCGATGCCCTCTAGCTCGAAGCTACCTGCCACCGCGTCCTCTGTTTTACCTCTACCGTAAACGCCGATCCCAACATCTCGATGAACAAATCCGCTCTTCGTACTAAATGCAACGTGAAGTTCACAAGAAAACTGTCACCTCCAAAAAATATAACCTATACGAGTTGCGATATAATTTACGACGCAGTTCATTAGGGTATTTTAAATCGTCAAGCGTTTCGTTGAGCATGAATCGGAGATACACGTGTCGCTCAGCGATTGTCCTCCTCATGCACCTTATACGGCCGTGTCTTCCTTGTCGGGCCTTTCATCCCCTCCGTCCTCCCTTGAAGCAGTGACGCATGAACTCCCATGGATTCTGCGGGTTCGTGAGAATTTGGGGAGTGCCAACCACACAGTGGGCGAAGTCGTGCTGTGCCTTGAGCGAGCCGAACTTCTCCTTATTAAAGCAGTGCTTCACAAACTGGAAAGGGTCCTCCGGGTGAGTGAAAATTTGAGGAGTGCCAACGATACAATGAGCCAAGTCGTGTTTTCTCTTCAGACCGTCGATGCTGCCCTCGGCTGCTGGCAAGGCGAGACCAGTGCCGACAAGGCCAGCAAGGGCAAGAAAGGAGAGAGGCTTCATTGTATGGCGGTAGAAAGCCGTGCTTTAGCGGGACAGAGAAAAACCACGGCGAAGAACTAGGGTGTTAATATGCACGGATGAGATGAGGCAGTTACCTTTTTATATAGTAGCATTAGCGCCTATCTCTGGCTCAAACAAGGCCCGAGGCTAAACAGCAGGCTTTGAATATAAGCAAACCTTTTATGTAATACCGAGTCGTGGCTGGCAAGTTAAATCCCAAGACATTTACAAGGGCAAGATCGCGCCACGCTGTTTTACTAGGATCAACAGCTAAGTAGGCCGGCGCGCGCTCAAAGCGGCTCTCAGTTTCTGCCAGACGAGGAATGCCCTTCTGCTGATGGATGACGTGGGCAGGTTTACTGCGTTACGTCATGCGAGTTGATGCTGGAGCCTGTTCTTATTCGCTCATCGACAGTTTTCCTGCGGAGGCTCGAGTACTACCAAGACCTCATGCTTGTAATAGCCGACCGAATCACATCGATCGACGACGCTTTCAAGTCGATAATGGACTTGATTCTTTAATGTGTCGATCTCGACTTCGAGGTATGAAAGGAAGTTTGGGACAACACTTTCAATAATCATCCAGATGACACGGTCGAAAGTAGACAAGAATGAGCTGGGCGGAAGAGAGATCAAAAGCCTGGTCGAGGCGGCCAATGTTCGGGACTGCGATGGAGAGAAGCTTACCAGGGAACCTCACCGGATCGTGCGCCAAATTCAGAGGCGGCTAGGTAACTTTGCATGAGGAATGTAACCGATCTGCTAGTGTAGAGGTTGCCTCTGCGCAGTGAAGCTAGGGGGGACGGATTGCAGACGACCTTGACACCTTGTCACCGAGACTCATTGTGCGCCAGGGCCCATCAGCCGAGTGCTGCGGCCAGCTGACTTTCGCTGTCCACATGAAGGTTCCTCGACGAGATGGAGCGAAGTGGGCTTGGGAGCAAATCCGAAACTGACTGTAGCTTCCTAGCTAGTTCCTTATCGCTTTCTCGTGATTTGCGAATATCTCCTGAGTCTGCGAGGCCAAGAGTAAATCGAACCGCTTGGAGTGGTCGAACATGGGTTTGCGTGGCGACCTGGAAGAAGTCTGCGACAGACTCTGAGTAGTCAAGGATGATGGATCAGTCGAGCAGACTAAACACAATGTACACAAGGTCGTGTAGATCAGAGCAATATCTTTTGCTAAATGCTTCAAGTTCCCTTGCAGATATTTCCTCCTCATGTGAGTGACCCTACGCTTTGCGCGAAACCCGACTTCTCTAAGGACGGGAAAAGGGGCCAGGGACAGTGCTGTAAGTGCAAGAAAACCCGACGATCGCTCAAGCACCAGGCTTTCCAGGCTCAGCAGAAAAAGCTGCACTTGAGTGGTCCTTTTGTCGCGGGTGGCGCAGACCGCACAGCTGAATCTGCGTGGTTCTCCTGGGGTCACCCCGAACATGCGAAAGGTTTCCATAGAGCAGGTTTTCCGTGAGTGCATGACGCGCGTGTTACTTCGTAGTGAATAGGGGACTCATTTTCATCGGACAGAAGGGGGGAAAGTCGAATATAGGTGCCGCATGGCATGATGGTCAGACAGAGCTCGTAAGCGCACATGGTGTCTGCGGCGAGATACTGGGCCGGAAAATGCCATGTCTAGTAACTCACAGAGATGCTTCAGGTCATCCGCAGCCGCACTTGCGCCTGCTCTCGAAGTCGACATGTTGAATCAAATCCTCCTCATCGCAGGTCCGGACTTGTAAACTCGATTCATTCTGGCCACGAGAGCGGATGCTACATACACTGGGATTCCTGAATAACCGCTTCCAGCGACTACCACCAAGCATATGCTGCACATGGCGCAAAAACGGCTCAGCTTGATGGTGGTTGGTGACGTAGTTTTCCATAATCTTCATCCAGTCTTATAATTGGCGAATGCAAGGCAGTTGAGTACAGGCAACTTGCTTTATTAAGGCGCCCGTCTTCGGGATCAATGCTGCCCCGCAGCTCGCGAAGAAGTGCGCAAGTCTTGCTTTAATGTTGCATCACCAGAGTGAGCGGCAGGCTTGACGCGCCCTATACAGTCTGAGCAATTTTGAAAAGAGACTACAAAACGGCAAGAAGCAGCGCCACGCTCCTCATCCCTACGCGAAACGGTCTCGCCTTTATCCTTCCTCGGGGGATGAAAGCTGTCCGGCCAATACAAGTTCTCTTATGCCATCGGCGGTGTTCTTTTTTATGGAGGTGGTCCTTGAGGCGCACGACCAACAATCAGCGGGTGAGTGGCAGCCAGTCCACCAAGAGCAAGGTATGCTATTGAAGCCTTCACTTTAAGGCTCGATGGGGGCGCTCGTGTCGAGATTTAACGGATAAACAAGTATTGGACTTACGTGTCTGTCGATACTTTATACTTATTGACTTATGACCGGTTACTGCCTCGGGGCATTTCTGGGTTCACAGGCTCTGGAGCCGACACCTGCGCGAATCTCGCCTGTGCCATCCCCCGGCCGGTCTTTGTCAAAATAACACCATTGCAAAGTTTGAGACAGCTCACGTTTATTCTGGGTGATGGGTGATACGGTATGACGCTATGAGGCTAAAAGGTCGGGTTTCACCCCAAAGACATAAAATCCACCTCGGTCGCGCGAGCCATACTTAGAGCTCAACATGCCAATAAACACTACAAAATGCAGTCCGCATTTTGCTGGTTGTTCCACTGGTGATGCCGGGGGACATAGAGCTTCTGTGCTTTACTGCGATGCACTCATCAGCAAACGAGGCTTCAAGTCCTTTGGTTGTGGTATTTCACGACTCGATCAGGCAGGACACATTCTGAGCCCAGAGCAGAGGCTTACAAGGGCGGTGGCCCAATTCATTGGGCAAAAAGGATAGATATCCATGACACAGTCAAAAAGATGGCCGAAAGACGTGCTCTCCCGCCGGGAATTGAACCCGGGTCTCAAGCGTGACAAGCTTGCATACTGACCACTATACTACGGAAGATGGGAATGGCTGTTGGAGCCATCGTAGCGAGGTGGGTGGGCGGCGATGAGAGCGGAGGAAGCAAATCCACTCATGAGGGCTTGTTGGAAGGGCTGGAGGCGGTTGTGGAGTGTGGCCCGACAGGGATTGCGCGGCAGATCCTTGTCGTGGTTGGACTTTGCCGTAGCGAGTATGGAAACTGATGATGAATTTCCCTAGACACTAGAGTAGAAGCCGGTGTTTGGAAAGTGCTTCCTTGGCTCATGGACGAAGTAGACAGTTGACGACTCTGAGAACCTCTGTTTCTATTGTTGTTAGTCTTGGATTCAACGATTATACGAAGTACTTCGTACACTGTACAGTATGGATAGCGAAGCGGATGCATTCCCTTTTAGGATAGGCGTCGCGCGTGGGCGGCGCCCCACATAAACCGGCATGCCCCCCGGCCCTTTTTCAAGCCGCGGCGGCGCACGTGACCTGGAGGAAAATGATGAGCCTCTCTCCAGTTGAACCCATCGTCACTCCACGTCTCCAGCCTCGTCACCAGTCGCCCATCGCTGCTCGTACCCGCCCATCCGACTCCTCGCCTCGCGCGACGGCCGACCCTCTCCCTCACCATGGCGCTCCCGCCCTGCCGCGCCACCCTCGCAGCGGGCCGGCACGCGGCGCGAAACACTACGACGCTGTGTCTACGGTCTCTGTCCACAGCCGAATCTTCCTACAAGACGGCCAATACGATGCCCCAGGACGGCTCCGGCTCTGTCGGGCGGTGGAACCAAACGCCCCCCGCGATGAGGGCTCCGATGCGCATGAACTTTGCAAAGCACGAGCACAACCGGGTCTGGATCGTCAACAAGGACCCCAAGCGCCTCGACGACATGTACGATCGCCTGCTCGGGCCTGGTGGCTGCGAAATGTTGCCCGACGAGCTCAAGTGGCTGGCTGTCACCCATAAGAGCTTCGACTATGGCCGCCGCGGCTTCAACGACCGCCTCGCCCTCTTGGGTATGCTCCCCTTTGTGAGCCTTGCCCGACTCGAAGCTGACACAAACTGCCCAGGCCGGTTGACGCTCATCATGGAGGCGACAAAGGACATTGTCAGCAAGCCGCCGCTCGCCAAACAGACCGCCCCAGACGCGAATGCCAAACTGCCGACCCAGCAATCGCGACTGGACGCTGTCGACAATCTCTCCCATACGGGCCCCAAGGACCTAGCCAGCGTGGACAAGCTGTATAAGCTGGCCACCAAGATGGGAATCCTGAGCGTGATGCGGTGGAAGCCTCGCCTAGTACGTGCCGCCCCGCTGGTGCTCCCGCTGTGTTGCTCACATGTCTGTTTGACAGACCCAAGAACTGGAGCAATCCGGTGTCCAGACCGTCCTTGGCGGCGCCTTGCTGGCCATCATCGGCGCAGTAGTGTTGCAGCACGGATCTGTCGTGGCGTCCAAAATCGTGAGAGAGCGGATACTGGCCAGGCTAGCCAGATTATAACTGCGTAACTGGGCGGATGGAGAGGTTGCTCGTGTACCACGGCAGTGTACGATGTTTTTTTACTCTCTTCTTTCGATCAGGCGACTTCGAAGCAAATAAGGTCTAAGAATGGCGGGTCTACGGGAAGGGTCCAGGACGACGAGCCACTGGTGCCAAACGACACTACATTGGATGTCTTTAATAGAGCCAAGGACTCCGCGGAGTTCTCCAGCGACTCTGCAGCCACCCAGTTATCCGGGCCAGATGGTCGTGGAGCCGGTCGGCTTTCTGAATCTCGAGCACGCAGCGCACGTGGTAGGTGCGACGGCTGTGGAAGCCGGGCTGGAAAATTCCAGGGATAAGGGGCGTAGTGAAGCGCCCCAGTTGCCTGAGGACCAAAGGGCCGGAAAAGTCAAGTTTGTTGTCGTGTTAGTCCTGGAACATCTTGCGGGCGGGCTCACCCGAGATGTCAATGACAGGGTGCTTGCCCACTTAGAAGCTGAAGTGTCCCGTCTTGGGGCTCTTGATGGTGACTTGCCACCACCTTCTATATCCAGGATACTCCTGTCAGCAGGGGTACGAAGAGTCTTTAAACCCGATGTGTCCCCGGAAGGAGAGTTAGAGAGGGTATTCCCAGCTTACCAAGGTTTTGTGGAGAAGTTGAAGGTCCCAAGGAATGGAATGGTGTCAGGTACATATTCTGCTGCCTTCCTGTCTGAGCTCAGGCAGATACAAGCTACGTGAAAAGCAATGCTGGAAGTTGCTAGGCAGAGCAAAAAGCGAGCCTGATATGTGCCGCAAGATTAAAAAGAAATTCTTTCAGAATGAAAAAAGAAAGACTTCAGGAGAGAGTTGTTCTCTCGACAACGACAGGATTCGAACCTGTGCAACCGAAGTTACTACCTTTCACCAATTCGAGGGTAGCGCATTAGACCACTCTGCCACGTTGCCTTGCCTCACGGCTGCTAAGGGGCTGCTAAGGGGACGGCCGATTCAATCGAGGTCGTGTTTTTTTCTGGTTGGGGGGGGGGGGTGATCAAGTCCACCTTCAACGGTCAACCCCAATGGGAAGCTGGTAGTAATCATCTAAAATCAGAAAGGTGTACGCAGATTGGTCTTGAATTAATCGAGGGCAGCAGCGTTGAAATAGCCCTCAGATGTGAATCGTCAGACTCTACAGCCCAAAGCATATCAACCAGAGAGTCAATACCTTTGGGGTCCCATTTGATTTCTCAGTTCCGACAAAGGCCCGTAAAGTAGCTATAAGGGTGCCGTCAATGGTGAAGAAATACTTGGTGTCTCAAGCGGATTGTTGGTTGGGTTCATGCCCATTCTGGCTGGCTTGGGCAGCGCCTGCACCTGCACCGTTGCCGTCCTGCCAGCTGCCAATCGACCCATTTGCTGACTTGATATAATTCTGTATTGCACGTAGACCAAATCCATGATAGCATAGCTGCGGACAACATGGTTTAGTAATTCGCTATTTATCTTGCTGTATCCTAGAGCACGCTGTTGTACCCCCCGGGAATGGTGGCAGCTGCTAGAACCTTTAGTCCTGCGGCCTGCCCAAGGAGGCTATTCATGAGAAAGAGGGAGCCTTGTGATAAGGCTCTAAGAGATACATTTATTAAAGCTAGGGTGTGTAACTATAAAACTAGCTGGATAGAAGGCAGAGAAAAAGGAGGAAGTTTCTTATACCCATTTATAATAGACTAGCTAGGCTAAGTCTAGACAAATAAGAAGTAAAGAAAAAAGGCATGGCAGCTGGGGAAAAGGTTGAGGGCCACAGCGCTGGTGTGACTTGGGGTGGCGTTTCCACCGAACTCAAAGCTTCTAGCGTCAGGCTCAAGTGATAAACCGGCCCGCATTTGGGCAATCGAGACGGGCGAGCACCTTAAAGATACTTGAGAAACGTGCTAACTGCGTTTCATTTTCGCACCACTCGAAGCTCCCAGTGTTCACATCAGTCGACCGAACACTGCGAGCTTGGTCAACTTAAACTGGAGAACATCAGCTCACACTCGAAGGTCATATAAACTAGGTTAGGTTGGGTGCTTTCTCCTTTGACTCGAAGCTGATTATGTTAGAGTCACTCGATAAATCTGTCCGAATCTGGTCTACCGAGACGGGTGAAGTCCTTTGGACGCTAGAACAAAGTGAAATTGTCACTTCGGTTGCCTTTCCAAGTGACGCACGGTTAATTGTGTCGGGATCATACCTTCATTCAATACGGATCTGTTCCGTCGAGGACGGCGAAGTACTCCAGACACACACGGGTTATACTGACGCGGCACACTCGGCTGTCTTTTCGTCCAACTCCTAGCTGTTTGTGTCCGGGTCGAGCGACGAGTGAGTCCAGATGTGATTGGCTGACGCGGGTGTTTATCACCAGACGCACCACTTCTATAAGACCCAAACGCGATTGACGCCTGGCGATATAATTTCCAGTTGCCTGCTCGCCAGACTCTAAGTTGATTCCTTCTACGTCGACAGAAAATCACGTAAATATTGAATCAGTCCAGTAAAGCGACTAGTGCTGGACCCTAAAAGGCCACAGTACTCTAGTGGTTTCAATATCCCCTCACCCGCTTCGAGACTAATAGCTACGGCGTCGAGCTACCACTCAGAATGGATCTGGCCCACCGATATAGACGAGTGGTTTAAACACCTAAAGCTCATACGGAGTCTGCGATATCAGTCATTATAGCCTCTACATCACGATATCATACCACAGTCACATGGTCGTCTAAAACGGGGAAATTCCAGCATAAGCTTCAAGATCATGCTGATATCGTTTAGTCTGTCAGCTTTTCCGAAGACTCGACGCTAATGGCATCGTCATCCAGCAACAAGACGATTCGAATCTGGTCGACCAGAAAAGGCAATTGCTACAAGGCCATGACTCTGTTAATTCGGTCACCCTCTCTTCCAACTCGAAACATTTAGCCCTGGGGACATGTGACAAGACCCAAATCTCGCTGCTAGAATCCAGGAATTGCCAGCAAATTCTCGCAGGTCATAGAAAGACCGTTAAGACCGTGACCTTTTCTCTCCACATGGACATACTGGCTTCCGCTTCTTACGATAAGACTATACGAATCTGGCCATTGGAGGCAGGCGATGTTCCGCTGGTGACCTTCTCGACCGACTTCAATCTCCTGGCATCCTTCTCAGTTGATCTTGCGATTAGAGTCTGGTCCGTGGAGTCTGGCGAATGTCGGCAGATATTCTCCCTTGGTTCCATGATATATGACATGTCATTCAATTGGGACAACATAACCTTACATATGACAACGAGTCTTCTGCTATTAGACTCGTCGCCATACCCTGAGAACCACGCGGTCTCAGATTCAGCCCATGACACGGACGCTGTTACGACAACTCTGATGAGTAACATTCACCCTGGATACGACTTTAACTCAAAGACCCCGTGGATCACGTACCGCAGGCAGAGCGTCCTATGGTTGCCGAATAGGTATAGACCTTCATTCAAACGTGTTGCGGTCACAGGCTCAACTTTTGTCGCCAGTTACCTGGAGCTGCTTCATCAGTACTGAGCCATTTGAAGGGTACTTGGTGTTTGCACGTGAATCTGCAGTTGTCGAGCTTTGGCTAGAGTTTTAGCCATACGTTACTCGGCATACTCACAGGTCACAAGCCGTCGCGTTCACCTGGTCCTCGAACAGCGCAGTATACTTGTCCGCGAAGCAGGTGTCGTATACAGAGACACTGTCTTTGAAACACAAGCTCTGGTCTATGAAGCCCTCATTGAATTGACCCTTCTCAACTAGGTCGAGTTAAATAAAATGACCGAAAATAAGAAGAAAATAAAGAAAAATACAGCAGCACCGACCCAACCACGGAATGCCTGAAGCACCACCCTAATGTCCTGCGCTGGCTTGAGGTAACCCCATCGCCCACCTGGATCATGAGGTATGTGACAATGGGCAAATGCGTGTGTTGGGAATTCCAGGCTGAGCCCCTTATGCCTAATGATCCCCCTCCAAAAGTAGAGGTATTGCTTATGGTCAAAATTCGTCGTTTATTTTCGGTGATTGTCTGTTTCTTTCAGGTAAAAGTACTGTCCATCCGCTAATATATTCTGACATGTTCCGCCACTATCTCTGCTAATTGGTCTCTATTTGCGCCTATTGATCGGAGTAGCAAGTACCATCCCCACAAAGGCAGTCCTTCCATCCCGGCTTGCCCTGACAGTTATTCAGCTTTTCAAGCCAAATGCTCGGGGGCTCCCTAAGACATGAGTAAACCCTATTGCCACAGGGTCTAACATCGTTTGGCATCATGCCCTTAAGCCGACTGTTCATCTCTTGCAGTGCCTGCTCCTCCTTTTCGCAATCCCACCCATTTTTAATCACGATTTCTGCTTGTCGACAGCGCATCAACCTCTCCTCCATTTTCTTTTTCTTTCTCTCATCACTCTTTGGATTCGCCGTCGTCTCTGACTCGTTAGGCGCGTCCTCCATTGTCACATCGGTCGGAGGCCCTGTCGTTGTCGCTGGTTCTTCAGGAGGTGGATCTTCCCTCCCCAACGCTTCTACCGTGCCTTGCTCGTCCTCGGGGGTTTCAGTCTTCTCTTGGTTTGTCGCCGCGGCCCCCGCCTCCGGTAGGGCCCCGGACACCAACCCCCCTCCGGCTCCGGCTCCAGCGCCGGCGCCGGCGCCGGCGCCGGACAACGCCAATCCAGCGGCCAGAGCGGCCCCCCCCGTTAGCGCCACGCCTGTACCCAGAGTCTACAATTGCCCGTCGCATCAGCATCGTGAATGTTCGTCCACTGCAGGAAGAGTCACTTTGTAACGGGCAAGCCGCTTTAACGGCGGCTGCGCCGCCTAGCTTCAAGAACCTTCCATTGGCTCGAAGCTATAAAATGCCGTTATGCTCTTATGTAGTAGATTCTCTTTCTTTCTTTCTTTCTTTTCTATCTTGATAGTAAACAGCATAGGGACTAGTTAGTTGTATCAACTCACTAGAGGCCTTTCACATACTATCAAGATCACCGAAGACACTGAAGACACTGAAGACACCAAAGTAACCGAGTCCCATCGGAGCCATTAGCATTCAGCGAAGTCGCGATGGCCGAAGATAACAACAACATGCAGCCGGACGTCCTCAGCGCCCTGGTTGCCGAGATACGAAGTCTGAGAGAAGAGAATTCCCGAAGAAATACCCTGTTTGAAGAACGTTTTATTGCCCTGGAACAACACCAGCAAGCCCGTTCGTCTGAACTCCTAGAGCCAATGCCATCTGTCACCCCGGCTGTCCCCATCGAGGACACCCATGTGGGCGCCAATCACAACCCTCACCCAACCAAGCGCCCCAAATTACGAGACATCCCTAAATTCGGCGGCGACAAGGCCCAGTGGCGAAGCTGGAAACTAGAAACCGAAGGAAAGCTACGAGTCGATAAAGAAGCCCTTGGAGATGCAGAAGGCCACTTTATGTACATCTTCATGAGCCTAGAAGGCAAGGCTAAAGACAACGTGACCACATTTGTGGAGATGCAAACCGAGAAGAGAACGTTCAATGTTGCTGAACTACTCAACCGTCTCGAATTGCTGTACGGGGAGAGGGATCGCAAGCAGAGAGCTACACGCAATCTGCATTCGATTAAGCAAGGAGAGAATGAACCATTCACGTCCTTTTACCCCCGCTTTGAGAGGGAGATCGCCAATGCCAACGCCGAGTATTGGCCAGACGACAGCAAGATTTCCTACCTCCAGGAGGCACTAAACGACAAAATGAAAGCAGCCCTCATAGGCTCTGACCCCTCTGCCATCAGCAGCTATGTTGGGCTGGCGAGGAGGTGCGATTCGCTGAGCAGCCAGATGGAACTGTTGGGTCAGTGGAAAAGGCCCGAGGCAACACAAAGAGTTCGGACAACTATGACAACTACCAGAACCATGGAGGCCAGTCTGCCCAGAAACAGTCTGCCCAGAAAACCGAAGTTAGACGAGAGGATATGATGGAATGGGAGCCAACTCTACAAGCATCCGCGAAAGTGAACGCTGCGCGCACCCGCAGTGATAAGAACACATATGGCTACCAATCCAAGCGACCAGAAGACCAAGCGCTGTTGGGCAAGCGTGCCCAGTGGGTCGACCAGGCCGAGATGGACGCCCGTTACCGTGAAGGGCGTTGCCTCCGTTGTGGAAGAGACAACTGCAGAATCGAGCGCTGTCCATTGGCTGCGCCTATCCGACCCGCAAACACGACCCGACGCACTCAGGTCAATGCCGTGACCCTTCACGACCAGCGGTCACTAAAGCCGAGATCGCCGAAGACGATGCTTCTTCTCATAGCGATGAAGATTCAGACTAGGGACACGCGGCGGCTGTGAGAGAATGGGATGTGAGCGGAAAAGCAAAATGGACGGAGAACCGTTCATAGCAGACGTCAGGGTGAACGGCACAGACTTTGTGCCATCTCTTGTCGACTATGGCTGCCTCTGCTACGGCGCGGTCAGCAAGCGCACATTTCACTCTCTCCAGTTGCCACATATACGCGTCCAGCCGCGCATCTTGGAGAATGCAGCGGGAGACGGCAAGGAGGTCAAAATCGACAAGATCACGTATGTGTCGATCGACCTCGATGGACATCAGCAGCATCGTGTTTTCATGTACGTCATCGACGATCTGAACTGGGATATGATCCTGGGTAAACGATGGATGGAAGACCAGGATGTTCACATCCATGCGAAGGAAGGATATCTCGAGATCGGGTCCAATGGAGTCCAAGTACGAGACCGACGACGTTACCAGCCTCCTCAGCTAGACGTCTCTAATGTCATGGCCGCAACCTTTTTAGCAGAAGCACGCCGTGACAAACGCAAAGGCGGCATTGGAGTTCACTCGGTCACAATGGCGGATATTGACAAGGCCCTAAGACCGAAACCGAAGACTGACGTAATGGAGAAGCTGCCACCACAGTACCACAAGTGGTCTCGAGCTTTCTCTCAGCAACTGGCCGACCAGCTGCCCCCTCATCGGCCAGGTGTGGACCTGAAGATCGAAGTGCTGAAAGACGAGCATGGCCGAGAGGAGCCCCTACCCTGGGGACCGCTTTACAGCATGTCCCGCGAGGAGCTATTGGTGCTACGAAAGACCCTCACAGAACTACTCGACAAGGGATTTATTAGAGTCAGCAGCTCGCCAGCCGCAGCACCAGTCCTTATGGTGAAGAAGCCCGGCGGAGGCATCCGCTTCTGCGTGGATTACAGAGGTTTGAATCACATAACGAAGAGGGACCGCTATCCCTTGCCTTTACTGAGCGAGACCTTGCGAACGATAGCCAAGGCAAGGTGGTTCACCAAGGTAGATGTTATAGCAGCGTTCCATAAGATCAGGGTCGCCCTGGCGACGAAGAAAAGACAGCCTTCAGAACGCGCTATGGATCCTTCGAATGGCTGGTAGTTCCATTCGGCCTGACAGGCGCACCAGCAGCCTTTCAGCGGTATATTAACAGCGTGCTCCAGGATTACCTCGATGATTTTGTGTCAGCGTATATCGACGATGTCCTGATCTTCTCCTCTGGAAGCCTGCAAGACCACCGCGACAAAGTCGGCAAGGTCCTCCAACGACTGATGGACGCTGGGCTGCAACTGGACATCAACAAGAGCGAATTCGAAGTCAAGGCTGTGAAATACCTTGGGTTCATCATCGAGGCGGAGTGTGGGATCCGAGTCGACCCAGAGAAGGTTGAGGCTGTGAAGGGATGGGCAACCCCGACGAATATTAAATCCGTGAGGAGTTTTATCGGATTCGCGAACTTCTACAGGGTGTTTATGCCAGACTTCTCGGTGATAGCGGAGCGCTAACGCGGCTAACGAAGAAGGACGTGCCATTCCGTTGGGATGGATTGTGCGAAGAAGCCTTCGAGAAGCTCAAGGACCTGTTGATCACGGCCCCGATCCTGCACACTTCCATCCAGAAAGGAGACTATAGGAAAGCGGACGCTTCAGGATTCGCGTCGGGAGGCGTGCTCCTGCAGAGAGATGATAAGGATGGACTGGTACGACCTGTCGCATACTTCTCGAAGAAACATTCGGCAGCCGAAGCGAACTACGCTATCCATGACAAGGAGCTACTCGCCATTCTCAGATGTTTGGAGCAGTGGGAACCAGAGCTACGGGCAGTAGAGCACTTCAAGATCCTAACGGACCACAAGAACCTGAGATACTTCTACTCGGAAAGGAGGTTGACAGAGAGACAAGTGCGGTGGTCGGAGTTCCTGTCCAAGTTCCAATTCAAGCTCGAATGGAGGCCGGGCCGCAAGGGCGGATTGCCTGACGCGCTCTCGACGGGACCAGGATATGCCGGCAAACTACTCCGATGAACGACTAAAGGGACGCATTATGAGGCTATTCCAAGACGACCACCTTAGAAGGGTCCCAATATCGACATTGTCTACCAACACCGATGGTGCCCAGGAAATCAACTTCGGAAAAGAGATCAGGATATTTGAAGATGAGGAGTTACAGCAGCTGTGGCACGCCGCACGCCAAGAAGACAAGCTCTATCAAGAACTCACGAAGCTGGTAGCAGATGGAGCGAAGAGTTTGCCAACAGGATTACAGAAGGAGAAGGTTGTCAGCATTTCAGAATGCTCGTTAGACAATAGGGGCCTGCTGTGCTTTAGAGAACGCGTCTGGATACCCGGTTCGGAGCCGCTACGTACGAAGATCATCCAGGAAACTCACGACTCTCATATCACCGGACATCCTGGAAGGGACCTCACGTACTCGACTCTGTCGAGACGCTTCTTCTGGCCGGGTGCCGCTAGCGATGTACGTCGGTTTGTGCGCAACTGCGAGGTTTGCGGACGAAACACCATCTGGAGGGATACAAAGAAAGGACTCCTAAAGCCGCTCCCTATTCCGCAACGCATATGGAGCGAAATTACCATTGACTTTATTACTGACCTCCCACCGTCGGGGAAAGATGGCGCGACGAACTGCATGGTGGTCACGGACCGACTCACCAAAGGCGTCGAACTCGAAGGATTACACGATATTTCTTCAGAAGCGGTTGCAAGAAGACTCTTCGAACGACACTACCCTGTCCATGGCATCCCAACGGCTATTACCAGTGATCGGGGTCCCCAGTTTGTCAGTGGTATGTGGAAACACTTCTGTCAGCTGCTAGGGATCGAGCAGCGGTTGTCAACGGCGTACCATCCACAAACCGACGGTGCAACAGAACGAATGAACCAAGAGGTAGAGAGGATTCTTCGGATATGGACAAACTATCTGCAGGAGAACTGGTTGGACTTGCTTCCAGTCGCGATGGCGACAATTAACGAGCGGAAGCAACCTCCACCGGACTGAGTCCGTTCTTCTTCATGCACGGCTACCACAATGAGCCAATCCAGTTAGTTGAGCATCGAAGCACGGAAGACACAACACAGGAAGAAGCTGCAGCGGAGGATTTTATTCAGAGACTACAGGATGCCACGGAGTTTGCGCAAGCAGCGATAGCTATGGCCCAGGAAATACAGCAAGCGCAAGCCAACAAGCACAGGACAGCCGCACCGAGATACAAGCCTGGGGATTGGGTATACCTCAACTTGAGAAATGTCAAAACATCGCGACCCTGCAAGAAGCTCGATTGGTTACATGCCAAATATCAAGTGCTCACCGAAGTCAGCCCACATGCCTATAGGTTGGATGTGCCTGGACGTATCCATCCAGTCTTTCACGTCGATCTACTCCGGCCAGTACCCGGAGACCCATTGCCTTCGCAGAAAATCGATCAAGAGAGTGCCCCACCGGTGCTGGTGGACGGCCAAGAAATGTACCTCGTCGAAAGGATTCTGGATGAAAGAATGGAAGGTACGCATAAGAAGGTGCTCGTAAAATGGCATGATTACTCGCAGCCTACGTGGGAGCCCCTTCCCACTATTCGACACACTGATGCATGGAAGCAATGGAAGAAACATAAAAAGAGTGTCACCTTCTCAAGTCATCTTGACACAGATTGCCACGATCCCAAGGAAGAGGAAACGTTGGACGGGAGGGAGGTAATGTAACGGGCAAGCCGCTTTAACGGCGGCTGCGCCGCCTAGCTTCAAGAACCTTCCATTGGCTCGAAGCTATAAAATGCCGTTATGCTCTTATGTAGTAGATTCTCTTTCTTTCTTTCTTTCTTTTCTATCTTGATAGTAAACAGCATAGGGACTAGTTAGTTGTATCAACTCACTAGAGGCCTTTCACACACTTACTGTTTTAGGATGCTCTTTCGCCCACTCCTTCGCCTTGTCCACCTGGGCCGGCACGTCCACGATATTGCCAGAGACAGGCACGGGTTGTGGAATAATGTTACTCGTCGCAGGCCCCTTACCCCCTGGCTTAAGCCTCTTATAGCCGTCGCCTAATATAGGGGAAAATTGTACAGGAAAATTCTGCGGTAGAGAGGTAGCTAGTCCGACCAAAGTTGTGAGAACTGTTGCGGTCTTCATTTTGACGATGATAAGCTGGTAATCTGTATTCGAAGCTGGGAGACTCCGTGACTTATGTGCAAAGCAGGCATCCACTTGTAGAATGGAATATAAGTAGGGATGAAGTATAATTTCTTGAAAAGACGAATGGCTCCTCCTTTTATAATCCAAGCAAGCCGGTTGCCTCTTAAGGCGATAACTGCTCTGTTCGTAGGTAAAGCTACCTTCGCATAGCTCTTACCTAGGCCTCGGGAATCGGAACCAGCTGGCTCTCCCCTCCCCTATTATGACGCTTGTTTGGTCAGCTCAACAGGGAGTTCAGCTTCACTATAAACTTCAGCTGAACGGCAAGTACAGTATCTTGCCTTCTAGCTTTACAAACAAGTAATGCAGAATGGTGTAATAACGTACGTTGGAACAGAATGGTCCCTTGCAAGGTATACTAGTTAATCTATCCCTGATCGGCTGGCTTTGAAACCCTAGTCTTACTAGGTGCTATGCTTAAATCTCTCCGAGACTTTAGCAGTTAGTTGGTTGCTAACAACTTATGCGCAGTTGTATTTGGGTAATGCTCTTCGCGCGATACACTTCTCTATTCGCATGAAATCCTCCCTTAGCGCCAGTCTATGCCTCGCCAGGCACCGCCGCCTACTTTTTAAGCATAATTCTAGGTATCCATGCTCATTTATTTAGGCACTACTTATGATAAAAGTGGAGTGCATACGGGTACACAGTAGTAGGCAGGCTCGCCGGATCTTTCTCTTAAAGGAATTTGCACACTGTTGCTTAAAACCCGGGCGACAACACATGAATTGATCACGCTCCGTGCCTCTAGCCTGGAAATAGCCATTCATTATGATGCTTTGGGCGTGGACGGGCGTCCACTGGGCGGTAGATCATAGAAGACCGGTCATCTCTAGGGACGGCCAATGCCCCGAGGAACGGGACGAGAGTTGGGCATCAGCCGTGTTCGCGCATTTGGGTTAGTTTTGACACCGACAGGTCTGCCGGAGATGATAATTAAGGTTTGTTCTCGATAGTGTGGCTGTTTGGACGTCATAGTTGTCGCGTTAACTCAATAAAATGGCCCAGTCTCGGCAGTCTGGCCAGTTAGCTTAACACTACTCGTATACGAAGTAAAACGCATTTCGCATGGATTCTACATGAATATAGCAGGGCCTGCGTGCGTATTTACCTTCCATTCTTCCTGCTTGGGACGATTATTTCGCCTTGTGTTCTTCGGCTTGGTGTTCTTGAGATCTAGCAGGTAGTGCGTAATAGCCGCCTTGACCCTGAAACTTGCTACCGCGCTTGACATGATCGTTGCAGTAACGGCGGCGGGGGAGGAGGGAGACCCTGAGGAGGTCGGTGAAGCGTGGTGCGCGTGAACAAGACCACAGTGAAAGTCTTGCGTATGGCCCTACCGTTCCGGAACTTCGATTTTGCCGTCTCTGGGCGGCAGGCTCAATGAAAAGCTAGCTTCGCAGGGCTGGCTCTGCGGAAATGATGTCGCCGGGTATGGGCCCGCGCGGTGTTCCGATTACCGGATTACCAGTCAACTGCGCCCGGGACCTGTGAGACACCAGCGGAGGCCTCCATCCGCTTAACGAATAAACACGGTGGGTCCGAATAGTGATGAGAACAAGAGAAACAAGTTAGACAGGTTGAAGCTTTATCAACAAAACAAAACCATGCGTAGTAGGCGTAAGGTATGGGATTGCAAAAAGGAGGAACAGGCGCTGCAAAAGATAAATGCTTGGCTTTGGTATATGAAGCCAAAGGATGTTTAACTCTCAAGCAGGGGCTTGAGAGCACAGTGGAAGAAATAGGGGCACAGAAAGGTGAATTTAGTGATGCATGTCTTTGTCTATCTATTGGGACAAGGGAGGGGCTTATATAGGTACAGTGACTACACATAGCTAGCCAAAAGAGGGCATTAGGATGTTCCTATACCTAAGTCAGGCCTACATAATGTCCTTGGGCTAGGGGAGTCATGTTGGTCAGGCAGGCTTCCTTGTGCATGACTATTGGGTCCACTAAGCATGACTGTGGCCTCTTATGCCCACTCTCCTCAACATTAACCTTATAGGAGTAAGACTTATGCTTGTCTAGTGGGGAGTCTTCAAGCCTTTGGCTTTAAACGCTGAATAATTGTCAAGGCAAGCCAGAATAGGAGAGGTGCCTTAGTGGAAATCAAAGTACTGATTACTCCAATCAATGGGCGTAAATGCGCCCAAGCAGCAGAAAATGTGGCGGAAGATGTCAATTAATAGGGGATTCCCAGACCCCTATGGCCTAGCCCGTTACAAAAAGAAATCAATTGATTCCTAACTTTGCCTCCCGGGCTTATAACTGTTCTTTTAAAAACAACCATTACAGTATATAAGAGAGTAAATACTGACTTGCTTCAGCTTTCTTCTTGTATATGAGGGGAGGCTTGCAAGTTGTCTGTCTTGTGAGAGGGCTTGGTAGAAATCTATGCGAGAAGACCTATTGCGCATTTTTATCTAACAGATCTGGCTGACAGTTCTTCCGCTTCTGCTAGGTCGCGCCGTTAAAGGCCAGTAGGCTAACGGTGTCACTACGCTGGTCGACAATGGCGTCCTTCGTTGCTAGCTGGCGGATTCGATTACATAGTGCCGCAGTGCCTGACAGACCATCCAGTGTGCCGAGATACGCCGCGAGGCCAACGATAAAAGCTGCAGCCTGGGACGTGCCCGAATAAGACTTCGTCTTTCCGCTGTTGCTCGTCGAGATGATCTCCCTAGCGGGGGCGAAGATATCGACAGCCGAGCCAAAGTTGGAGGCAAAGGACTCATCCATATAAAGCAACGCATCGTTCTTCTGCATGCCGCCAACGACGCATACGCTTCGCTCCGAGGCCGGCGAGTATCTGTCTGCAGGGGTATTAGAGTTGCCGGCTGCGACAGCGACAAAGACGCCGGTTTCAATAAGCTTCGCTGCCGCCTGGTCCAAGCTCCGCGATTTACGATCTCCCATCGCGAAGCTGACAACCACGCCATTCGGGCAGCTGTGCTTTTTTTTGTGCTCCTCGATAAACTCGATACCCTTGATGACATCCGCAACATTGCCCCTGTTGGAATCATTAAGCACCTTAATTCCGAAGATCCTGGTCCGTTTGGCTACGCCATATGTAGCGCTGCCAATAATGCCTGCTATATGCGTGCCATGGCCACTACCGTCAGTATCCTGCCCCTTGACGAAGGACTTGATCTGCTTCGCGCGGCCCTTGAAGTCCTATACTTCTATTAGCCCACACACAGCATGCCGTCCGACCACTTTAACTTACAGGGTGTTTATCGTAGATACCAGTGTCTAGCACATAGGCGCAGGTTCCCTTACCAGCGCTCTTGTGATAGACGTAGTTGCCAGCGTCTGGTTCTCTGTGCGAGATACGGGCAAGGCCCCAAGATGAATTCGGTTGCGCTACACTACCGGGTTGCACGACTGTGCCGGAAGCAAGCAGGACAGCGTTCTCTTCAATGTAATCAACCTAAGATAGTTGATACTTTTAACACCCGTATCTTATATACCGCTTCAGGGCAGAATCCTTACATGTTGGTTATTGCGGAGCAATTCAACCTCTGTCTCGCTTAGAGATTTGGCAAAGCCATTGAGGAATTTATCATAGACGTGGTCAGGTTCGTCGGATAGCTTGGCGAGGATATCGTCACGGACGGAGGTATTGGTGCCGGTCTTTAAAACAACGATATATGTCTCGGGGATGATAACTTTATCGTCACCTGCTGTTGGGAAAGGCGCCAGCGCCTCGGGCTCAGCCAGGGTGGATGGGACCTGGGCGCTAAACGCGAGAAGCAGAATAGTAAAAATGAACGGATGCATTTTGCGATAAGGAATCTGGCCTATGCAGTTATTAAATCTCCCAAGATGCGATGAAGCCGTCCTACTTATAGCTATAGTATCAAAGAGGGCGAGAGCTGGCTAACAAACTAAAGAAGAGTATAACACCCACTCCTTGGCAAGCCTTGTTGTCTTGGTAACTATGCCTTCGGTCAGGGTGTCCGGACTAGGGCTACTGGGGTGGATGGACTGAATGGGGGGTAATTGATGTGGACAGGGTTCTCAATGTATGCAACACCAATCTCGTCGGGAGCAATGCTTTTCGCACGAGACATTTCCTCTTTTCGCACGAAATCCCCACCTTGGCGTCGCGCTAGGCCGCGCCAATTTGCAAGCGTGGCCCTGGTCAACTCGGGTCAACATAAAGCAATATGGCCTCGATTTGCATGAATAACACATCTATAGCTATGAAATGAAATAAGCAGCTTCTCGGGCAGACGACACACTCTACAACTACCGCCACTGCTTCTCCTGCTTCCCCTGTCTAAAGATCCTCTAATAGCTCAGGAAACTGGACGATTCCTAATTTGAGGCCGAGCGAGTGGAAAGGCTAGCCCAGGCAGAGTCATACAAGGAGCGCGTTAACGTCAAGAGCTGTATGTTGCATGTAAATGTGGTTTGATGTCACCTGTGGGTATCGCCATCTCTATCACGACGTCGCCAGCCCATAATGTCCTCTTCCAGTCACATACTTTACATCAATTAACTACGATATGGTAGCATTATGTTCCGGAAGCCAACATGACAGGACCCTTGACCCCGGAACATGGATTGCGATATCTGCATCGGCAAGAAATGCTGTGAAAAGTCTTGGCAGAGATCACCAAAAGGGAAAATCGCTTAATTCTTTGGCTCAACGCCGACGTTAGAATGGGCTTCCAATTCTGCAAAGTACCGCATGCACAGTAGAGAAACCATACCGGCAATCATCATTTTGGATTTATGGAGAGATAACGAGAGTGTCAAACACTGCAAATACCACTTGACTACCAGCAAAATAGGGGCACCTCCAATGGAGGTATTATTGGTATAGTTAATAAGTCTCCGTCCTGCTGACAGAGAGTTATAGGGGGATATTCGGGTGGTATTGCCACGGAAAGGTGGGGAACACGAAGGAGAAAGGGGAAAGAGAGCATATATCAGATAGCTGTTGAATTACTGTGGTCATCGCCGGTTAACTTTAAGTAACTTTACGTATAGCGATCCCAGCCGCAACCTCATTTGGTGATGCAGTTTGCAAAACTGGGCGAGAACCCCAGCGAGTGGCTATGTCAATGTCACCCCCCTGCGTCACTAATAGCTCGATGGCATGCTTAAAGGGGTGCGTGTCTGCCGAGCTACCCACTTGGGCGTGCAGCCACCGTCATTGATGCACGACAGAGGGGGAAGGTCGGTCAGTTTATGTTTGGACGAGAACGGCTGATTTTCTTTGTATCGCTTGGCCAACCATGCTAGAGGGACGCGTGTCGCCATGCTACGACAACGGAACATGGGCCTGCGAGGAGACATGGGGAGGGCAACCAGCATGCCAGGATCAATGGACAGAGGTCCCAACTCGAATGCTTGGATATGCACTGGAGCATGAGCGGTAATATTAAGTCGTGGAAAGCCAGTAGTATATGACAGACATGAATTTGCCACATTTCGAAGGGGGCGCTCCTTGTTCACTGTCTCCCAATTTGCATTGGCAAAGCAGATACACAACTAATGCAACAATGGCCCCAGCCTCGACACATGACGGTCCCCTCTCCATTCTCCCCACTGGTATATATTTTGTTGCAGGCAGCCGAGTCTCTGACGTGGCTGCCTAGCCTGCCGAGCAGCCGTCAGCAGATCCTGACAGGCTGCCTTTTCACAGCTACGCTCGTCACCACCAGCAGAAAATCAAGCGGCTCTTCCGGGTTTTCCTTGCCTCAACAACCGCTGCTCGTCTTGCAAATACCTCAACCATGAGTCTCAACGCAACAAGCGTCCACCACCGCACCGTCGACGACGAGCTGGTCGACACGCAGCTGACGGCCGACAACCTTTGCAATGAGTCGTGGAAAGATTGGCCCAACGAGGCTGGTGTAATGCAACTCTCGGTCGACCCTTCAGGCGCGCCTCTTCGCTGACATGAAGCCCAGTTTGTTGGGCTCGAGGAACATAGGGGCCCCTTGGACTTGCACGTCAGAGGCTCCATCCCGGCCTGGGCAGCCGGTGCTCTGTACCGTACCGGGCCTGGAGTAAGCGCTGTTGAAAACACCAGCCGGGGCACTCACTTGGTTTCGCATTGGTTCGATGGCTTTGCCCACACGCACAAATTCGACATTGTCCCGCCCGCGGCGGCAGGCGGTGCCACCACCGTCACCTACTCGTCCCGGCGACAGGCAGACGACTTTGTTGACAGGATTAAGAAGAAGGGATGGCGCACCGGTATCTCTTTTGCGCAAAAGTCGGATCCCTGTGTGGGTATACTGGCCAAGATCATGTCGTTCTTCGCGCCCTCCCACGTTAACAACAACGTCGCCGTTCATCGAAACATGCCCGGCCTGACCACCAAGGCGCATACCGGTGCTGGCCACCGCACTGGCAGCCGCAACGTCTTCCTCACAACCGACCAATATATCTTTCAGGATATTGACCCCGATACTCTGGAACCTCTCGGCTCCACCGACCAGAGCCGCCTCCACCCACATCTCAAGGGCCCTCTCTCTTGCGCTCACCTTCAGCGGGATGTCAAGACTGGAGACATATTTAACTTCAACCTTCAGCCCGGCCGACTAGCTACCTATCGTGTTTTCCGTGACAATGCGTCAACAGGAACTACCGATATCCTGGCCACCATTTCAGAACCTGGTATCAGCCCTGCATATATCCACAGCTTTTTCTTGACGGACAACTATGTCATTCTCTGCATACCATCCTCACATTTTGGCTGGTGGGGAGCTAAGATTCCATGGGAGCGCAATCTCGTGGAAGCCATGAAGCCTTTTGATAAATCTAACCTATGTAAGTGGCTTGTTGTCGATCGCCACGGCAAAGGCGTTGTCGCCCGCTTCTCTACCCCAGCCGGCTTCTTCTTCCACTCGATCAACGCCTTTGAGGAGTACGCACATGATGAGAACAACGTACAGCGCACCGATATCTGCATGGACTACATTCACTTCGATACAACCGATATTATAATGGGCTTCTATTATGACGTTATCTTAAATCGTGATAGTGCTACTAGGGAGCACTGGGTCCAGGACAAGAGACGCGAGACCCTTAACCCTCGCTTCGTGCGTCGGCGGTTCAGGATTCCTCTACACCAGCAGACATCCCGGGAAGCGGCCACAGCAACTGCGGACGAAGTTCTTTCCATTTCCAATCCTCATGCCGGCGAATTGCCAACTATTAATCCAGCCTATACATGCAAGCCATATCGCTATGTTTTCAGCACATGCAATCGCGGACTCAGCACTATTGCCGACTCGCTCGTGAAGACGGATCTTTACACGCGCGATGCGCTTATCTGGTGCGGTCCTAAGGGACACTCCCCAGGCGAACCCATCTTCGTTGCCCGACCTGGTGCTACGGATGAAGACGATGGTATCGTGCTGAGTGTCATCTTGGACGGCTCCGCGAAAAAGTCGTATCTGCTGTGCCTAGACGCAAAGACCATGACTGAGATGGGACGGGCTGAGGCGGATTTCCCTATTGCCATGGGATTGCACGGTATCCACGCTCCCGCTGTCGAATGACGTGCTGGGGCCTGCAGCGCAAGGGGGTGTTCATTCTGATTCTCTTCCACGCACTGCCAAAAGCGTACTTGGGAATCAACTAGGTTCTAATTGAGGGTCTATAAAAGGAGTGGTAGTTGTCAAATATGACAGAAATATCGATGAGTCAAAGATGGGGCACAGCCAAAGTTTTGTACTTGAGACAGTGGGAGCCAAGTTCAAACGGTGAAAGACGCCGTCAAGTCTTTGCTGCCGGAGAGTTTCCAAGCTCCTGACGACAAACTGCTGCCGTTTGAAAGTCGCCATAACTCTGGAGCTTTCAGGCTACCCATATCGATGGCACACCGCAACCCCGCCCGATGGTATGAACGGGGAAAGGCCCATGACGGGTCGCTGACCCCAAAGGAACTTCTGAGCTTTGTCAAATCGGGGAGGTCAGGTCGACCAACGCTGGCACGCACTTCAGTCTACTGCCGCGGTGAATCTGTACGAGTACCCAACTGCGTTTGGGTAGAATGCGTTACTAGATAGCCCACTGCATGGTTATGCCCGCCGTGACCTGCCGTTTTGAGCTATCACCTCCGCACTCGCAGCCCTGCCTTTGATGCTATGGCATGCGGGCAGACCAACGAGATGTCGAGCAACTTACCAACACTTTACGACCCCAGGGTGCATGTGATCCACACATGAGCTGGTTCAACTTTGCTTGGCCCCCAAAAGGCAGACATGATATGGTCAAGACCAGGTCTCTTGCGACAGTAGGCATAGGCTTCGGCTCAGAAGCTGCTGCGTCGACATCCACAATGGGCGACTCCGGTCCTGTCACCGGGCCGCCTAGCAAGTTTTCGGAGCTTCCTTCTGCTTTCGAGCGGTGCCACAAACGGAAGATACTTTGCGAAGCGTCTCGCAGTGGCTCCAGAGGCCTCTGTGAGGGTTGCCAGGTCAACCATCGCCGCTGTCTCTTTCCCCTCAGAAAAAAAACCGGAAGGCCCCGAAAGACAGGTCCCGAAAACGATGCTAGCGACAAAGCTGCCTCGCGTCACCCGACTATGCCTCTGAATGGGCCCAAGACAGCCGCTTACCAGCGGGCTGGACGTCCTAGACGCCATGGCTCGAGCCAACGGACAGCCCCGCATCAAAATTGCTCTGGCCGGCAGGCTACAGAGAATCTTACAGTATTTTCCAAGGACGGGTAGGCGCAGGTGCTGATTCCATTTTGGCTGCAGAGCAATGCTTTAACGACTCAGACAAATCCGCTCACGTCTTTAGGAACCTCGATCCGGATGACCAAGAGATCTTCATGGACATGCTCGATTCCCGTCCCTCAACGTCACCCCTCGCTCACACTCCTATCTTGCCCTTCCAGTCAAGTATGAACATGTACGAAACCATGTTCCTTGACAATTCAGAAACTCCGAGCACGGTGCTTTCCGATATCTGGTGCAATACCAATGACGACACACAAGCGGGAAAAGGGACCATCGACTTTTCAGACGTCATGCAACTCTGCAGCGAGGTCCGCAAGAGGAGCTAGATGCGCTCTCTCAACATGCGCACCGACGGAGACCAAAACGAGCTGGCCTGCATATTCCAGACAACTAAAAGAGCTTCGCCAAAAGGTGTTCAAGTTCTTCCAAAGCCGGGAGGCACTTTCGAGGGGACAGAATCAGTACAGTTGACGATTCTGCGCGTGGCCGTCGAGGAAGCCATCGAGATTGCGGCTGACATTGTTTCCATCAACTTGAATATGGGCAGACAGTACGATAACACACACAGCTCTCTGAGTGGCGGTTTGAGAGAACACCAAGCGTCGAGAGCCTGGTTGAACCTATGTCTCTATCCCGCCAGCTCGAAGGTGTTTTAGCCCTCTGCCGACTGAACTACTCGCTTTTTCACTTCGGACTCTTCATTTCCAAGTCAGTCTCCGACGCAACTTGGCAACGACATTCTCATTTACGCGTGATGGGAGGACTTATTATGCAGTTGATCTCGTCCGTCTCAAGTTCAACTTGCTCCTGCGCAAGGACCACGAGCGCGATGAGGCACTAATAAACTGTTACCGCTGGGCGGGGCGAATAATTACTTCGCAAGGTCACTTAGTCCTTCATCATTTTATATTCTAGACGTAGATTTTGAGCTGCCAGAGAACTACAGGGACGATGACTTGCTGGACTCTCACAAGCAGAGGAAGCACGGGGACAGCTGCGGCAGCTGACAGGCAAATTGTTGAAGAGCGATAGATTCCGGCACATTAATCTGCCCGGTGAAGGGACGCATGAGTGTTTGGCTGTTATGACGGCATGGCGTTTTGGTCAATATCAACTCGCCTCCAGGAGGAAGAGGGCCTGAGTATGTTTCATACCTCTATAGGATTTAGTTGCTGTTGACATTACTCTGGTGAGATGCCATAGCCCTTCAAGATCAGAACATAGTAGCGTTCGTGAGATTTTCGCGTGTGTAGTCGCGGGGTGACACGGCCGGGCCTGAACCAAACCCAGGAGGAACAGGCCAGGTAGTCGCAATTGTGCTTATTCGCTTCCCCCCTATCCCTTCCATCTCCGGCCTGGGTACACTATGGAAGTCTTGGTAGCTAATCTAAACTTTTCGCAGAGGATGGATTCTCGGTCACAACTGCCCCATACTATGTTTATGATAAGTGCAGGAAATTCGCGGGTTATGCCGCTGGCTGGGGTTAACTGTGCTTGACTGGGGAGCTGGAGTCGGGATATTGCGGACCTGAGGTACGTCTTGTCATCGCTGAATGAATCATGGCAGGTTTGGTATATCATGCCAGCCCTCTAACTGCCTGCCGGTAAAGTCGGTCGTTGCAAATTCCCCGCCGCTCCCCACCGCCTTGTACTTTAGGCAAGTCCCTCCCCATTATCCCTATCAGTCGGCTGTATCTGATGCATAGCCCCCTCCTTTATCTGACTCTACGCCGCTCATACGACCCCCTCGATTCCTAATCTGCACGTTTAGCTGAGTTCCTGATGCCCTAGGATTCCGCGTATCCGCTTTATCAGCCACGTCTTTTATCCATTTGGTCCTTTACCTTAACTTCGGGGGAGGAAGAGGCTTTTTTCATTGCTTTAATGCCCTATATCGAAGGGGCCATTACTCGCTGATATAGACGGGGTTTTGCCCGACTCGCAACCTCTATGCTCTGGCAATGGCTTAACGCGGTTATGGCTACCTTTCTGATCCTTAGACCCTATAGTGACTTAATAGCCTTTATGCCCGCGATGATCTATGGGCTTCCGCTGCGATATTATCCGCTATTATGGGATCGGATGACGTGGCAAAAGCCTGCCTTTTCTTAACTAGGCATACTGCATACGAACATATGCAGAGATTAGGCTAGTTGACCTTCTATTATCTCCGTTAGCTCTATCAGAAGTTCCTCGGTGCGCCCGAACGTGGGGAACTCTGATTAGAACCACGGGGCGAAAGTGAAGTGGGGCTGCGATGCGCTGGCAGAGGCTGTCTCTACAGCTGTCTGGTATAAAGCAATAAGGGATAACCACAAGCTCTTATCCGAGGTCCTTTAGAGACCAACAATTGAATTACTGGCCCCCGTTCTTCACTCTTTGTTTCGTCGTGCTTGTACGCCTCACACCCCATCTGAGGGCAGGTGGTTCAACTCAACGGGACCAATGGTGAAAAAGCTGTCAATGTCAACGCAACTCAATGGTGAGGCCAAATTGATGGAATTAAATTGATCGCCACCCTATAGCCGGTCAATCAGAGCGCGACGACACTTAAAGACTCTAACAACTGGAGCCTAAATAACTGCGGCCTAGGTCTTTAGACGCGTGACAGGCTGAGCCGAGTTAAGACGGTCCGGAGCAATCCTGGCCCTATAGTCGCAAATATCAGTCCGCATATTCCTTCTGATTCGTTATCAATGATAGGTAGAACTTACGGGAATAGTTTTCTGGGAACAAATTGAGGAAAAACCAGAGCTGCAACAATAGTAGCTGAGCGTACAGTCACGGGCGGATTGACACTATATTTTTGAATAGTATTAGCTTAAGTACAATACTCTTTAAGATCTAGTTGCGATACTTACACTCTGTGCTGTCACTGATCCTATTAAACCTAAACCGGTAAGAGCGTTTAAAATGGCGGCGGAGACCTTCATATTGGCTAGTTGGTTTTTAGTGGCAGAACAGCTGCTTTAAGAGAATAATAAATGATTTCGGGATGAGTATTGGTTAAATTAGTGGCCAGTTGAAGACAGAATGCGAGTAGTCAAGATATAAATATTTCTCTATGGCCGGCTGCGTTAGCTTCAAATTCCTAATTCGGCCGACAGTAAAATTAGCTCTTAGCGTTACTCTGCGAAGAGTTCATTATATGCTAGGCATTGGCTACCTTAACTTAGACGACGTCGCAGCCAAGATCTAATGCATTCAGTATTCTATTTATTAGAGTTTCGCTCTATGCGGCATCAGGTCATTTCTAACACACGATACTATTTAACCTTGGCCTTATACCCCTTGTCCCCTAAGCAATGGCAGTTAATATACGGGATAGTGTTACACTATATAGACAGGCAAAAGTGGAACGCGCTCTTAAGGGCGCTATATAAGTGGTCGTTATGGCAGTTGGTCTGTATGCGACATAGCCCCCCCTGGCCTAGATAAGCTCAGTGTGACGTCCAACGGCTACCCGATCGGCGATAATTTAGTCATATTATACTAGTTAAAAAAGAGTATTACTATTTGCACAGACAAAAGTCTCTATTTGCACAGACGATCTACTTTTTCTGCGCGTACCCCGGCCGCCCAGGCCCCGCCACCTAATTTAGCTATACCAACGTGGCAAAGGAGGGAGCCGCGCTAAGCGTAGCGTAAAGCCCCGCTAAGGGAGAAATCTGCCCTTCCTACCTACATCGCAAAGTAAAGCTATTCGCGATAGACCTACGATTTATCCTTAACGAGCCTGCTAAAGAGCCTGCCGAAGAGCCTGCCGAAGAGCTCGTCGGGCTGCTAATTCCTCCTCTGCCGCCCTCGTTAACCTTTAACTCCTTTAACGAGCTCTACCACTTCCTCTAGAGCTTCTATCGCAGTTATAGCGCCGCTATCGTTAAGAGCTCTAGCTTACGTAAGCGTAAGATTAATAGGCAGGTCTTACCTATATATATTATATTTATTTATAATTATAGCCTCTAGCGAGCTTCGTTAAGTAACGGCCTTTATAAAGCTTCTTTATAGAAGCTTAACTACCCCGTTAAGATTATTATATCCGTAATAAGGATATCCTACTAAAAGTAGACTTTTCGCGTTAACGATAGTTATTATAACTATAGGCAATTAATCGACCCTTTAGCTTATAACGTCTATCGCCGCCGAACCTAAGTATAGTACGAGCTCGAGAGAAGCCTTTCTAAGTATCGTGCCCTCCTAGCTCGCTAGATAGCCTCGGTTATTAAGGACTCTATTAAAGAGAGCTTCTTCCGCTAGCGAGATATATATAACGACTGCTAGAAGATCTATACCGCGGCCCTTAGTAGAAAGACTATAACCTAGGCCTTTATCGATTACCTTTAACGCGGCGGCCTTAAGTATATAGTTAAATTTAGCGACGATAATAATAAGTAGAAAGTCGAGGCTATCTTTTAGATATACCCTTAGTATAAGTAGATATAGAAGCGCTTTCTAGAAATCTTAGGACTTAATAATATATATAAAATAAACTAGTTTAAGATATATCTCTTTTAGGCTACTAAAGTTACTAATTAATAGTCTATAGCTAACTTTACTTTTAGCTTTATTAATATAAAGAAGGAGGAAGGGTTTTAGTAGCTTTATAAACGCTTTAATAAGCTTCGCCTTAAAGTTAGGGTCCTAGCGCCTTTTATAGTTATTATAGATAAGGAAAAAGCCCTTAAAAATATACTCTTATATATTTTCCTTTTATTATAGTAATAACTTTACGTTTACTATATTAACGCTAGTATTAACGCGAAAATTAAGTTATATTAAAAGGAGCTTAGCGGCGTTAATAATAATAATAATAATTATAATAATAAAGCTAATAGCGTTAACGGCGCTAACGATCTTATTAATATCTTCCTTAGTAAAGTCGCTATATAAGAAGGAGCTAAAGATAAGATCTTAAGTATATAACCTATATAACTTAAAGACTATAGCTATAAAGGGATATTTACTACTTAAAAGGCCGTTATCTATACCCTAACTAAGGTAGGCTTTTAGTTAGCTTAGAGGGCGCTTAATTATAAGTATAGATAATACTAAGGCTATATCGTAAGATATATTCTAAGGAATATATACTATAGTAAGAATAGTAAGCTTATTACTATATTAGCCGCTATTATAACTTTAGCTAAAGGGTTAATAGCGTAGTTAAGACTATATATAAAGATATAAAGTTATATTTACTTATAGGTACTAGCGATCTCTTCTACCTATATACTATATTAAAGTAAATAATCGCGAATAAAGAACGCTCCTATATCTAAGGGGCGGCCCGCTAAAAGTTAAGGTAGCGGCTTTTTTATCTTAGCTAAAA